TATAATAAANATAATATATATTTATTAACCAACCATTAAAACAGTTTAGTTTCTCAATCATTAAAATAACAATGATATTATGTTTTATTGAATAATTATATTCATTTTAAGAATATGAAAAGACCGGGAAAAGATTCCCCGTGTAGTAAAGTGACTGATGGACGTTAAATCTGCCGAAACGCGGAAAGTCCTCCTTGTTCCCATAACAAAATAATAACCTCTGGGGGTACTGGATTGGAGATCAATCGTTCTCTGATTCAGGTCAAAATTACGATCTGTGGATGAATGAATGGACGTATGAATGGGTTCGCCCTATAAACGGCTGCGACGTATGGTGTGGCAGAAGTTGAATTCTTGGCCATAGATGGCGCCACTGAAAAACAAGAACAATCGCACCCCTTCTACCTAAACAGGCATAAGTCAACAAGAATATGAAAAAAACCCAAAAAAATTCTTAAGTGTAAAGAAATTAGAGATTGTTTAGTTCTTATACATTCTTATAATGTATTTTCATAAAGATACAAAAAACTTTCTTTTCCCCAAACGTTCAAATGATTTATGTTTCTCTTTTTCCTTAAAATCAACTTTTAAAACAAATTAAATTTAATTAGTTTTAAAAAGTTTTTTTTCTTTAAAAAATTGCTGTGCAGTCTCCCAATTTATACCGTTCGAAAAAGGTTCGGATTCCTGAGAAATCGAATTTTAAAATTTGATGTCGTACATTTAAAATTTGATTTCTCAGGAACTGTGATCAATTTTACTCAAATTTTGTATTTTGCCTTGTTAAATTACCTTCTTTAAAAATGATGTAAAAGATTATGTGCCTTGCAATTCAAATTTTTTTCCCGACTATTAATAAATATAATAATAACAAATAATAAATATTTAATAAAAATCGATCATTTTTAGTGTGGAATAATTTTCGGGTAAATAACTTTTATGATTGTAAGCAAAAGTTCTTCAATTCGCTTAAAAAGTTCTCGAGATATAAGAAATATGCAAAGAGTAAAATTAGCATTAAGAGGTTCAAACTTTGGACAGTTCTCCTATCAATATTCCCAGATTGCGGAAAATAATGTTAAAAAAAAAATGATGTATAAAATATGTTTGTTATTGCATAATATAATTACGCAACTTAAAAAAATCTTGAGAAACTATCTTCGTCAAAAATAATAATCAAATTAAAAAATATATAGAAAAAAAATGAAAAATATATAAAAAAAAAAAAAAACATAAATAAAATAAAATTTTCGCTTTGCTTTTGTATCATAGTTCACCAGCAAATTGAAAATTTCACACATTCCTCTCAACTTATCTCGGTTTATAAAATTTCATTAATGGGAGAATATGTTTGCAAGTACGTAATATGATTATGCTATATGTGAAGAAATCTTGCGAAATCTTCTTCGAAAAAGTATCTACCGCATCACTTCCTTTGAAAAGGAAATTTGAGAACAGCTTCGGTTTTATAGAAATGCTGGATTTATCCTCGTTTGCAGGCAATTGAACAATTTACACATTCTCACTTTAGTTTTCAGAAAAACTCCCAGACATGCATCATCGCTATTAGCTATAATTATATTAGGTATTCGTTAAACTGTTAGATTCAGAATATTATCCAATGATAATCTGTATTTTTAAACTTACCTTTCAGAAACTCTGAAATTTTTTTAATTAAATGCTTTTCTGTTACTATGAAAACAAATCAATAAATAAATATATTTTATTATTTTTCATTTTTTAAAGTCTACGAAATTTTAAAATTAGATAAATAAAAGATGGTTAATTACAATAACCCCATTACCATAATAGCCCTTTTTTTTTTTTTTTTTAAAAAATCTTTTATCGAAATATTTTTCAAACGAAGTGCTGACGTCCAATTTTTGAAGTTTCGTACTTTTGCTAACATGCTAAACTAACATTAGAAATGAAAATTCCAAGTAAGATGGTACTACTCGAGTTATAACTCGATATGTCGAAAACTTATGTGTTTTTCTAATTAAAAAAAGAGGCATTTCAACCTTTTTTGAAAATTTCTCTATCTTTTTTCTTGTCTTCTATTTTCCTTTTAATACTTTTTTTAAACATATTGGTTTAAAAAACTTAATCAAACTTTCAGCTGTTGGGTGTCTCAGACCCATTTTTATAAGAAACTTCCTGATTGCAATTGGATAGCAAGTCGTTCAGTATGCCCCATAAAAAAATTGCCAAGTCCCAGAGGTCTATTTTATAAGCTCGTAATGAAATAAAGGTGAAAATTTCCTTAGTGAATATGAAATTCATAAAATTCGTAATTTCACTAATTCGGCGAACTGATCGCTAAGACACGGTTCTCAGCAGATCACCGAGGTCAAGCATCACTGGCTGCGGTCAGTGTGCTGGTGGGTGACCCACTTGGATCAGTCTGCGTAGAAACCGAGGGTGTGCGGTATTGGTCCTCGTTAAACTGTTCTACCGTAAAGTGCTTGACTTCCAGTGCAGGTCGTCGGGCTACCGAAGCGGGGGTGCCATCCCCTCTGCAGAGGATCAAAATTGTGATGGCATGTCTTCGGATCATCTTCAGGAATGTTTCCCAGACCGCCGCCAAAAGCCCAATATGCGGCTCTAGTGCAACTTAAATGAACTACTACAACAACAACTACACGTTGGTTTTTTGACGTTTGATTTCTTTGTAAAGACCATTCTCGCTGCATGCTATTCAAGCTCCTTTGATCTTCGTCGACAGAACCGGANTTTCAATCATAACAAACGCCTTTTAACATAAAATATATTTAATAACAAGAAGGATGATGATGATGTTACAGTGTTATGGAGGAAACTGATTAGAAACTAACTTATTTTTACATTGCTGCGCAGAGCGCCATCTATTGAGTTATAGAAATTACAATTAGTATGCAGAAATAATATTAACATATGCCTTGCAATTCAAATTTTTTCCCGACTATTAATAAATATAATAATAAAAAATAATAAATATTTAATAAAAAATATTTTTAGAGTGGAATAATTTTCGGATATATAACTTTTATAATTGTACGCAAAAGTTTTTCAATTCGCTTAAAAAGTTCTAGAGATATAAGAAATATGCAAAGAGTAAAATTAGCATTAAGAGGTTCAAACTTTGGAACTCCTATCAATATTCCCAGATTGCGGAAAAGAAATGTTTAAAAAATAAAAAAATTTTTTGTATAAAATATGTTTGTTGGTGCATAATATAATTACGCAATTTGAAAAATCTTGAGAAACTCTCTTCGCCAAAAATAATAATGATCAAATAAAAAAATATATAAAAAAATAAGAAATATATATAAAAAAAAAATTTTTTTCACATTGCTTCTATATCATAGTTCACCAGCAAATTGAGCATTTCACACATTCCTCTCAACTTATCTCGGTTTATAAAATTTCATTAAATTACTATAAACAAAATTAATGAAGCAAAAGAGAGGGAGAATATGTTTGCAAGTACGTAATATGATTATGCTATATGTGAAGAAATCTTGGGAAATCTTCTCCGAAAAAGTATCTGCCGCATCACTTCCTTTGAAAAGGAAATTTGAAAACAGCTTCGGTTTTATACAAATGCTGGATTTATCCTCGTTTCCAGGCAATTTAACAATTTACACATTCATTGCTTCTCACTTTAGTTCTCAGAAAAACTAATAGACATACATCATTTCTATTAACTATAATTATATTAGGTATTCGTTAAATTGTTAGATGCAGAACATTATCCAATGATAATCTGTATTTTTAAGCTTACCTTTCCGAAACTCTGAAAATTTTTTAATTAAATGTTCTTCTGTTACTATGAAAACAAATCAATAAATAAATATATTTCATTATTTTTCGTTTTTTAAAGTCTACGAAATTTTAGAATTCGATAAATAAAAGATGGTTAATTACAATAACGCCATTACCATAATAGCCTTTTTTAAATTTTTTTTTTAATCTTTCATCGAAATATTTTTCAAACGAAGTGCTGACGTCCAATTTTTGAAGTTTCGTACTTTTGGATATGTCGAAAACTTATATGTTTTTCTAATTAAAAAAAGAGGCATTTGTACCTTTTTCGAAAATTTCTCGAACTTTTTTCTTGTCTTCTATTTTTTTTAAATATTTTATCATATTTCCTTTCACACATATTTTTTTTAAACATATTGGTTTAAAAAACTTAATCAAATTTTCAGCTGTTGGGTGTCTCAGGCCCATATTTATACGAAACTTCCTGATTGCAGTTGGATAGAAAGTCGTTCAGTATTGTCCATAAAAAAAATTGCCAAGTCCCAGAGGTCTATTTTATAAGCTTATAACGAAATAACGGTGAAAATTTCCTTCGAATATGAAGTTCATCATTCGGTGAACTGATCGTTAAGACATGGTTATCAGCAGATCACCGAGGTCAAGCATCACTGACTGCGGTCAGTGTGCGGGTGGATAAGCTCTTGAATTAGTCTGCGTAGGGACCGAGAGTGTGCGGTATTGGTCCTCTAAACTGTTCTACCGTAAAGTGCTTGACTTCCAGTGCAGGTCGTCGGGCTACCGAAGCGGGGGTACCATCCCCTTTGCAGAGGATCAAAATTGTGAGTCATGTCGTCGAATCATCTTCAGGGATGTTTCCCAGACCGTCACCAATAGCCCATTGTGCAGCTCTAGTGCGACTTAAATGAACTACTACAACAACTACACGTTGGTTTTTTGACGTTTGATTTCTTTGCCAAGACCATTCTCGCTGCATGCTATTCAAGCTCCTTTGATCTTCGTCGACAGAACCGGAGAATGAAATTGTTGTCAGAATTGTTTGGAATGAATGAATTGTTGTTGAATGAATTGTTTGGAGGTGCGTTAATCAACTGCAGTGAGAAAAGCTCTCGGAAAAAATAAGGGGACCGCTTTTGGTGAGAATGCTCCTTTAAGAAAGATTGACAGGTTGTGGAAATTATTTAAACAAAATGCTCATAACCGTGATTTCTTTTTTAACCGCGATTTGTTTCTGCTTTTTTAGTGTTGTTAAAAACTTTTTGTTTTCATCTAATTTATTACTAGTCATTAAAAAATAACGATTTTTTTTTTAAAATTTCCCAACTTTCTTCGAACGTTAGTATTTATTGATATTCCATAGTAAGAAAAGTAGCTATTTAAAGTTATCCTTTTAAATTGAGCAATAATCATAGCTTGTTAAACAAATTGTTTTAATATTTTCCTTCATAACTTTTCCAATTTTTCGTTTGTAAAAAATCCTTTGCTTTCTAAAACAAATCTCATCTTCCAGTACTATAAAACGTACTAATTAAGATTTAAGAGAATATGAGGCTATTTATCTGTTTTATATTATGTGCAGCTTCTTTTATCACTTAATTGCTTTTTTTATCTGATAAATGATATCTGATAATTTTACATTTATAATAGATATAAAACTGATAATTAATGAAAATAATGCCATGTCGATGCTTTGTAAAATGCAATTTTTAAAGGTCAGCCGTATTCGTCCAAGTTTTTTTCCTCAGAAAGTTTTTTTATGAAATTCAAATATTTTATCTCTTGATTTATCTTACCTGAAAAATTTAAGTGCTTTCTAAACATTCAGTGGTTTCAATTTAAAAATATAATTTAAATTACAGTGGAATAAAAAATGTCCTTTTGAACCTGTGGAAGATTTATTTGTGCCAAATAAATACCAAAGGTTTGGTGATTTCCAGGTAGTGGCACCTAAGAAATTGAAAAAAAAAAAAACTATCGAAAGTAACCAACTTGAAGAGTATAACTTGTACTCCTCTGGGCGAACTTTTTTATTATTTTTTTATTTTATAAGTTTGAATTTGACTATTCTGGTTAACAAGAACAAGTACCGAAAAGAAAATATTTCATGGACCTGATAGTGTTTAAATAATTATTTTACTCTTATTATAATGCCTCTTTAGTACTTTATTATTAAAGTGTTACTAAATGTTGTAGGTTGCCAAAAAATTTAGTGGGTAGATTTTTATCTTGATACTTGTTTCAAGAAAGACATCTTTACATTTTGACAGCAACCAGGCATTGGCTTGCAAGAAAGTTAAAAAAAAATCACTAATGGGGGCCAAATGAAGGTCTATATCTTGTCCTCAACTCTGGGAAAACTAATAAAAATTTTGTGAGTACATAAACCCATTAGCACGGCAAAGGTTATTTGCATTTTAACAGGTACCACAATGGAAATAACTCCGATTGTACTTAAAATTGTAAATTTTAATTTGATTGAGTTTTATAAAAGGTGAATGTATAATATATGGGCATTATTTGTGGGTAGTGGGTGAGTATATGTCACCCTGAATAATTAGAAATCTTTAAAAGTGTTTTCGACAAAGAAATTTTTCTTAAATTTTTAGAGTTAGTAAGCAAGAAAGCTATAAAATAAAACTGGGTAACTTATTATTTGTTACATTTATACTAATGCTGAATTCATGTGTGGAGATTTCAGTCCTGTAATTAGTTTTGCTCTTAAAGCTACAGATTTTTTTTAAAATGACATTTTTAGTTTATTTTTTGCAAGTTAAACACAGGATATCCTGAAAATGCCGTGCAATCTTCTAAGAGATTTTGGGTACATCATGAGGATTAAAATATCGTAATAAACTGATGTCCAAAAATTTCATACATGGCTAAGGGCGTTTACCTACTCTGGCCCGTTCAGTACCTCATGAAGAAACAGTTCATAGTAGGGAAGTGTCCCTATGACATGTCAGGATATATTGTCAGTGGCGCATGACAACATATCAGGGTATGGGTTCCTATACAATTATAGTCCTGATGATATGCCATAACTGTCCTAGAAGTTTGTCATAATATTTTATGTGACCCGTTTTTATATATGACACTTTTAAACTGGAACATTTTGATAAATGTCAGTTTTAAAAAAAAAGCTTCAAGAGAGAAGCTCTCTTTATCTTTATGCTGGTATTTAGCACATTTTAGAATTTTTTTTAAAATTCTTATGTGAGATATTTAGTGTATTATGACTACGTAATTTTATTTTGACCTTCTCAAAAATTATATCTCTGTGATGCCCATGGTACATTATAAATTAAACTTGATCTGTTCTGTAGGTATAATAATTTGTTATTCGTATAATCGTCAATATTTTTTTTTCCATCCTTCTACTATACTTTGTCCATTTAAATATTGTGTTTAATTTTTCTAACCAGTACTTTACTTAAAACTGTATAATATTTAATGATTAAATCAGTAGTATAATAATAATATAATCAATATGTTGCTGATTGAATAAGTAATATTTATTGCTCGGATGGTAGTCATTAAAGTTGTCTAAACCCTCTTAATTTTTTGATAAATGAACAGGAATTCTAATAGTTTTATTGTCTATTTGTTAAAAATGTAAGTTATACCTTTGTAGTTTATTCAGTTTAAATTAGGTGTATCATTTCATAGGTTAGCTACTCAGAAATCCTAGTTTAGTTACTCTTGACATTTAAACTAGGTGATTGTCATACTTTGTGTAAACCTTTGTGCTTCCTGTTATTGTTAAATTGCCATATCTAATGTTAATGTTAATTTTCCATCGCAATTTTGTTACAAAAATAAAATGCATTATTTTATTTTTTTCTTTCAGAAACGTGTTAAGAATTATTCTGTTTGCTGAGAGTGGTATAGCTGAACTTATTTTAATATTGTGTGGTTAGTTTATTTTTATCTTTCTGATTATTTTGATAACCATGTATCTTATTCTTTATTTCTTGCAGTTTTTTGTTAATGTATCAAATTTATATAGTTAAGAGGATATTTATCCAAGATTAAATAAAATTTTAATTTATTTAGCCCCTAATGGCATTAAGGGCTGAAGAATGAAAACTTTTGTTTATTTTTGTAGGAAAAAAGCAACTTTTTTCAATAGCGCCGCAGCACTTTCGCCGAAAAATATGGTATTTTGTTTGAAATATTGATTCTTCGTTAGTAATGTAAAAAAATGTCATGGATTAGTCATGTTGCGTATATTCCAGAGTTCTCCCTAGGAATAAAAAATGGCACAGTGCTTCCTCACAGAATAGGACACTTTAACTTTTTAAAAAGCACTCAATTAACACCATTAAAATTTATCAAAATGTGTTATATTATGTGATAACTGAATTTGGTCCACAATTTTTAAATTACCCTCTTATACTATTTTATGTGTATATTTCACAAAGCAATTGTCACTCATTTTCAAAATGACAGAAAAATTTTAATCTTTTGAAAAATTATGGCAAGCTAAAAGACAATCTCTGTGTATGAATATTCTTGAAGAAAAAAAAAAGCAAATTAAAAAAAAAAGCTTAATTGATAAACATTGTGAAAGCTTTTTTTTTCAATATTTTAACCTGAAAATTATGATAAAACAAGCAGTTAAAGGTGAATTTTTAAATGAAAGGTATTTTTAAAATGTAAAATTTAGAATCACTAAAATACCAAGTAATATACTTCCTTTCAGCCAAATAAAAGATGTGAATATCTCTAGGGCTGAATATCATGCAAATTTTAACTGTGTAACTAAACATAAAAAATTTTGCAAGAATGAAATTAAAGTTAAGTAATTATTGATAACTAAATAAATCAAAAGTGAGCTTTTCATTTAAACTGGTTAAAAAAACATCTTCCTATCAAAAAATAAATAAGAAGACAGTGTTTTTAAAAAATAATGGCTTATCTATACAAAAAGTGTGTTTTGATGGGGATCAAAGGCCAGCAGAATAGGTCGACCTTCTTAAAATGGTTAGGGAGAACACTACGTAAGATATAAAGATATAAAATAATCTCGTTCGTTAAATGCTTTTTGTCAATTAGCAAATTTTATTGATTTTTTTATTAAAATTTAAATATTACTTTTGTATTAGATGTTTCACTAAAGTGGTACATTTGATGACGCTGAGTGGTAGCGCTTCACGCTCTCGAGCCACAGGTCCTGGGTTCGATCCTTGGTTTGGACAAGGTTAACTCGGCCTTTCATCCCTTCAGTGGATAGATAAAATGAGTAACGAGTATGCTTGGGGACTTAACACTGGGGGTTCCGCTTTCAGCTGACCACCCAATTGGAACATCTGCTCCTGCACCCCAGAGCCCATGGTCAAGAAAACTGAGATGGGCACAGTTGACCATGGCCCTTTATGGGCTGTCGCACCACTGAGTTTAGTTTAGGTACATTTGATTGTTTTGCTTTAAATTAATAGTATAAATCTGCGAAGGAATAGAAAAAAATTTGTCACTGGTTGCAAGGGCGACTGACTAAATTTTTTTAAAAACTTCAATGCCTTATTTAAAGCATTATAATTTAGAAGTAATTTTGTATTGCTGAGATTTTTAATTTTCATCAGTTAGTTTATTTAATATTTCCTGAGACCAATAAGTTGAGTTATTTTTATTTATGTTATGTTATATATGTTACTCAATAAAGTTAATTTTACGAACTTGTTTCTCATTTACTTTTCTTTGAAATATGTTTAAGATTATAAATGACAGTTATGATTCATTGTCATACATACTACAATATATTTCCTTTTCTTTGCTGAAATTTTTGTGCAAAATATATTTCCTCTGTATGAAAAATAAGTTGACAAAAGCAAAACTTAATTTTAGTGCATTTCACACTTATGTGAGTTTAGCTATTTCAAATTTATTACTGATTCTTCAGTTAGAAGTTTAATTACATGCAAATAAAACCTATCTTATAGAATAATCAATACAATGGAAACCTATCCTGCTACCTGCTATATTTTCTTATTTTATGATTAAGAATATTTATTTTTCTATATATTAAGGTTTGCTATTAAAGCATTTAGTAATAAGTACTAGGTAACATTTTTGTAAATTTGGTGTGATCAGCTTCACTGTGTATAAACTTCAGAAAACTGTTTGCAGAACATGTTTTCCTGCTCAAAACTCTCAGATTAGTAATTTATTATCTGGTTACTATAATATATTCTTATTCTAAAATTTGAAGGGAAAAAATGTCAATACTTGTTCTTCCAATGAGCTTTAATATAATAAAATGTTGCCTTAGAAATAATTGATAAGAAATTTTTTTAGTTTGCTTTTTTTCATATATAACAATTTATATGGTCTTAGTAATTTAATTCAGTATTATTTTTACAGAACTCTGATTGAATAGAATCATCTGATTAATTTTCCATGTCTAATCCAGGTAATAATTTAATTTTCTTAAATTCTTGATTCTAATTCAGTATTTTAATTGAGAATCAAATATTTATATTTCATCTGTGATTCCAATGTATGTATTTGATAAGTTCTCTCTCTCTTTTTGTTTTTCTTTGTTTCATCTTTTATTTAAAAAATTATTATTGACTGTCATTAGTTAATGTTGTAATTTTCAGATTCTGAAAATACATTAAACTAGTTTTCACTTTAGAAACGGAAAGACCACCTCTATTCATGACCACTTTTGTGAGTCGCGGTATTTTTTCCATAAACTTTGAGTTGAAGAAAACCTTTTGGAGAGACCATTAAAACCTACTCATAGCGACTGGGCAAACATCTGTAGCAAATGCAGGATGGGTCAAACAAGGAAACATGAGAAAATATCAAAACAAAACATTTAACAAAGCAAATAAGTAGCTTAAAATGTATTCATTCAAAGTATTTGTGTGAGGCTCTTATTTCGAGAACTCTTTTTGATGATACAACCTCATGTACAGTCAGAATGCATTAATGAGAATGCTTTTAATGATTTACTTTTAAAGTTGAAAGTTAAATTAGAAAAAAAAAAAGTTATTTTAGAAAAAACGAGCAACTCAGAAATCAAACCTGTTTTCCTCTTTTAAAGCTAACAAATTTTTATGATACAAAATTAAATGCAAACTTAAACAAAAAACATTATTTATTTATTTAAAATAGCTTTATTATTCGTAATTGGTAAATTTGTTTTTGCATATAATTATAGTTGGGATAATTTTTATAGACATAAAATTTTATTCTTTGATCTGACTTTTCATGACACTGACAGAAGTAACGTTTCCGCACCAAGTAAATGACACTGACTAAAGTTAATACTGAAAGAAAACACAAATAATTAAGATCAAAAAGATAAAACTTCTTTGAAAAAAACGTGCTAAGAAGCAGCAGAAATTTCAGAAAAAAGTATCAATACAAAACAAATGAAATAAAATAAAAAAAATAAAAATATGACCACCGAAGCCGACGTCTTCAGGGGGTACCGGCCCCGGTAGCCATTAAAAACAAAACCATTTCTATTTGAGGGAGAAGCAAAAGCTTAACCAATTTCTATCAACGACCATTTTACTGCAGAACGGAGAGTGGCCGCTCTCGATAGATTTCTCTGCATATATATTGAAATCTTCTTCTAACAGAAAATAAACCATATGATTCTGAGCCATAATGTATTTTTCTCCATATCCAATGTAGCGTTAAGTAATAAACAGTAACAAAAGCGTCAGGTTCTTTGATTGAAATTAGCAGAGCATATCTTATTTTGTTCTATGATGCTTTTAAATAGAGTTCAATGTAGTTTTTAAACTTAACTATAATTTATATGTAACAATCAATAACATAAACTCAACTAGTGTAATAATATAATATTTTTTAATTGTGTACTCCTAATGTTTATATCATTTTTGTAAATTTATCCCACTTATTTTTTAATGAAAATTCAAGAATACTTACAAAGACTTCGTATATTGGACTCATTTTCATTTTAGAAACAGATTTAGCAGAAACTAATTGTGCTTCTGTTACGAGTGCTTTCATTCATAATATTTTTATTTCAGATTAAATGAGTGTTCTATTAACATCTCAACAACGTGTGCGATTTAAAAGCATATGCTTCTCTGATCAGCCACTGATTCTGCCTGACTCCATATCTATTTTAGTTTAGACTGTTACACAGAGTTTTTTTTTTTTTTCCTGGTTGAATAATTACCACCTGATGGATTTCATCAGATAATTAGATTTAATAAATTCGTTTATTTACATAATATTAATTCTAAATTATATTTATTTAATAATGACTAATAGCCTGTTGATAAAGCTGATTAATAGGCTATTAGTCCGGCAAGTGTTAACTATGTGAGATGATATTTGAGAGTAGTTTGACTTTTATGCGCTCATCATACTCATATAAAATTGTATTCAATCCAGTTATAAATATAATTTTAAAACTTCCATCATAATTTTTTAACTTATAAGTTTTGTATCATTATTTTATATTCCATATATCATATTCCATATATATCCCATTATCATATTCCAAAAGATTTCATTTTTATACTTTTTCTGTAAAATTTTCTGTTATTCATCTTGTTTTTTTTTTAACATATAGATGTAATAAACATCTTTTTGTAAATTTGTCTCTTTTAACTTAAAGATGATGAGGAAATTCAGAAAATGTTGCAATTCGTGCCACAAGTTGGGGCAATGTTTGAAGTACAAGAAAAAGTTGGAGAAGGTAAATATTTAAACACATATTCAATTATATTTTATTTTGTATGCAGGGATGTGAACTGGTAACTATTTTTTGTCATAGTCAATAGTTTTCTGTGGAAATAAGAAACTCTATAATGATATTAAACAGAATTTAACATTCAATAGATGTAATATCATTCAATAATAAAAAGACAAACATCAGCATATCGAATTGTATTATAACAACAATCTCAATGCAGAAAATGAGCCTCTATCTCTGGATGTCATATAGGGAAAATAGATTTATTAAAAAAAAAGGACCATAATATAGGAACTAAAATTCATAGTATATAGTTTATAATGTATAATTAGTTTGAACCCCATATTATTTTAGATGTATATTTTCAATTAGTATATTTGTTTTTCTTTTATTTATATTTAATGAAGTGAAAACTAATAACTTTTTGCAATTAAAACTTGAAAAGCAATTTATTGTTTTTGTTTTGATGTTCTATTTTTTCAACTTAGATATTGTAGAAGTGAAAATAATTGTTTAGTTAATTTTGCATTTATTATATACTGTATTATTTTTTATTCAAAATGATTTGCACAGTGTAATATGCTTTCAGAAACATTAATTAAATAATAAAAATAAATGATAATTTAAAAATTAATTTTTTGGACTGAAATTGTGTCTGAATGAGTAAATCTTTAAATGGTACGAAATATTTTTTCCTTTATGCAATTAGTTCTAAGTATAAATAAGAATTTTTTCCCGATATTACGTACTTAGCATTTTGGCTAGTTTTAAACCATTAAACTCTTAACAAATTTTTTGTTAAAATAATTAAAAAAAAGAAAATCTTATTTTATTTGCCAATTTTTGTGTCTTACCAGTGTTCTCAGTGACTTTTGCCTTAGCAATTGGCTAGGGAGGGGGAGGGGAATGTTAACAGATAAAATTTTGTTCTCCCCCCCTTTTAAACTCGATCAGTATTCAATTCTGATCTGTATTCAACTGTCATCTATAGAAACTATCAAGTTAAGAAATACTTTAGCAATTTCAAAATGTCCAGGAAAAAAAATTCAACTTTTATGAAATACAAATGTCTGAGAAAATTGACTCTACTTTATGCTATACATTAGTGGTGGTTAGTTAAACAGAGTTTATCCTTCATTAATGTGATCAGTTTACATAATTTTATCAATTGACGGAATAACTCTTTAAACATTTGATGGACTTATTACTAAACAAATGTTTGTATTCTTATTCAGTTTTTTTTTAGCTCTGAGATTTTTGGTGCGTTTTTGCCGTTAAAATATTTTTTTATGTATATCTTTACTTAGGTACTTTTAGCAAAGTATATAGAGCATTTGTCAAGAATACAGGTGATCAAAAGTTCGAGTATGCCTTAAAGTACTTGGTGCCAACAAGTAAACCTTCTCGTATTGCAACAGAATTGCAGTGTTTAAAGGATGTTGGGTAAAAATTTAGAATTAATGTTAACTTTATGCCTTATTTAAGTGTATAATTTTTAATTGAAATTATTTATTCATGATTTTTGAGCTTGGTGTAACTTATTATTTTAAGTATACTATTTAAGTGTTCTAATAATTTGTTCTATAAGACTATCAACCACTCTCTTGTCAATAAAACCTTCATGCATTTAAAAAAACATTTTACTTTTGATCGACTTATTTTTCACAGGATAACTAAGTTGCTAAGTCATTATTAGTTTCAATTAGACTTAATCAATTGATCTTATCAATTAGATTAGACAAACAATTGTTTTTCATTTTTAGGATCATTAATTCTTTTGATGTGAAATTAAAGATTTTCATTTACAAGATTTGGTATTTTTTAAAATGAAATTTCCCTGTTAAAAACGTATTGTTAAATTTCTAACTTATTAGTAAGATCCTACATCTTAACAAATTTTGTTTTATTGATTTTTTTTGTAATTTCCTTAACAAAATCTAACTTAATCATTTATTGTGATACAGGAAATGAAATGGTTTTAGTTATAATTGATCCTCATAATTCTTTTTTTTAAAACCTATATGTACTCTTAACTGCAAATTTTCTTATTTTCTCCTTTTCTTTCGCTAAAATACTTTGAGATCCATGTTATCATGCTAATTGTTGTGATAATTGTTATGATTATGGTAAAATATTATTTTGCCTCATTGAATTTTTAAAATATTTTTGTGGTTTTTTTAACTATTAATATCCATTTTTAAGGAAATTTTGAATTTTTATGTGATTTAAAAATTGGTTGTCATTTATCATTAGCTGTAATAAAATTTTTATTTGTTTAATAAATGCATGTTAACTGGTAAGAAATTTATGCAAATATTAAATATACAAAGCTAACCATTGGTACATACTTTTTATCTTTTTTATAGGGGTACCAACAATGTTGTTGGTATAGTATCATGCTTTATGAATAATGGACATGTGGTGATTGTTATGCCATATTATCCTCATCAAAGATTTTCGGTGAGTACTTTTTCTGAAAATTTAAAGCTCTTGTTATGGGGATTTCACCCCTGAGAAAATATCAGCAAAGCGTAATAATTGTGCCATATTGTGCTAGAACAGGATATTTACTTCAATTTGTACTGATCTCAGATATAAAAATACATATTAAAAGGTATATAAATCTTTATGGCAGCAACAGTGGGATAACCAAGTGAATAATAAATTGCACGCTACTAAATCAAATTTGGAACCCTTTCCTGCTCTACGACTACGTAATGCAGATGTTAAACTTACCCGGCTGCGAATCGGACATACCAGACTGACCCATCTACATCTGTTGTTTGGTGAACAACCTCCTCAATGCATCACTTGTGATGTTTTACTTTCGATTCACCATATTTTAATCATTTGCCCGTGTTTTAACTGACATCGTCTTACTTTTTTTGGTAGTTCTATTTTATCTATGGGAGATTTGTTGGGTGACTCTCATCATCGTAACATTTTTGCATTTTTACGTGCTATTGGCATTTTAAATTGTATATAAGTTTTATTTTATTCATGATTTATTCACTTTTTACCATTTTACTTGTCTCACAAAATTTTACTGTGTTTTAACTTGGACATGATTTCAGCATTTTTACGTGTCGTTGGTAATTTTAACTGCATATAAAAATTTTAACACGTCTACTGTTTTATACACTTTTGTAAATATCTTATCACCTTCGTCCACTTTACTTACTACGTATTATACTGAACTCATACTTTATATCTGATTTTATTAATACTTTTTATCTGATTTTATTCATACTTTTTATCTGATTTTATTTAAATCGTTAATCTTGTCTTATTCACCTGCTAGTACTGTTTTATCAATTATAAATGTATTACAATTAAATTTGAATGCACTTAGAGTTATAAACTATTTTACCGTACTGTTTGGCGCAGCATGTCCTCATTTGAACCTTGTGCCACTAAACCCTACATTCAATCAATTTGTACTGAATTAAAGCAATAGCGTACTTTTGTTAGAGAAAATTATTGTGACAAACAATCTTAAAACAAGTGAAAGCAGATGTATATTCCTTTCCCATGCTCCTCATCAAGAATAAATAAAGCTCAAAGATTTAATGTAATAAGTCATGCAAATCGCCACATACAAATAAAGAATTCAGTTTGTTCTTATCCACAAAGCTGATCTATCTTTTTCTGCTTTTTTTTTAATCTTCTTTAAAATTTACTAATGAAATGAAGAATTTTGTTTACTGAAATGAAGTCAAAGTTTTGGGAATTTCTAATTCTCACCTTCCGCTCTTTCTATATATTAGTAATTTTAATGTAATTTTTAATATTATCAAATATAAAAAAGTAAAGAAATCTTGATCTGTAGCCAAAAAGGATTTTTGTGAATCTTCTGGTCAGTAAAGCAAAAGGGACTATGAAGGAGAAAGGAGGAAGCAAAATGTTCTCCTGTTTTCTCTAGATTTTCTTTCCTCACGATGTCTTTGATAACACTCTGTCTCGTATAATTTATGGAATTTCTCATACTTTTAATTCATATTTGTGTCTAGGTTTTGTTTTCGATTGCTTGAAGTTTGAATTGGTTCCGTGCGTGAATTTATTTATTTCTGCCTGTTGATTTAACTATGCTTAGTATTTATAGGGCGCATGGCTTTTTTAAAAAGTACTTATAATTGCTTATTTTTAATTTTCAATTCTTGAAAGCTTTTAAAGGTACTTTATAAATAATGTATATATATAATATGAGCTTTTAACAGTTGGAATTTTTTTTTTATTGGTGTGCACATATTGCGGCACAAAATTTTTGGTGTGCAAAATTTATTGGTGTGCATATATTGCGGCTCATTTAATCGTCACTTTTTGACTTCTATCAGTTATTGCTGGGTATCTCAATGCTTTTCTTTTTGAAATTCTGATATTTTCAAGCATTATTATTAAGAAACAAGAAATTTGAATCACACATTTGAGTAAAAAATTTTTCTCATACTCATTTGGCGGTTGATTTTCATATGATTTATTTTTAAAAATTCTGATATTATTATATGGGAAATTCAAATCGCATACCTTAGTATTCACTCACTATTTGATGAGATAACTCTTATTGTTTTTACAATCAATAATTCAGCAGATATCACTTCTAATTTTAGCATATTTTATAAAATATCAATTTTTATTTAACATGATATTTATTACAATACGTGAATCTCAAAATGTAAATCTAATTAACCCTTTTCCTTTTTTTAAAAATATTATTAGTGTGGATTCGACGGTGTTAAATTTTTAAAAATTATTTTTTAATGCTCCGATTATTCGCTAAGAATGGAAAAGGAAGAACGCGTAATTTTTTCTAATATATTTTTTTAATTCTTTACTGAGTTGACGAGAGAAAAAATTATTAAATAAAAATAATTTTTTTTCTTCTCTAATGTACAAAAAAAAAGTACTAAAAAAAAACTACCAATTGTGGTAATAAAATTTCAGATAATTTCTTCCAGCAATCACATGTCTGTCACACAGATAATTATCATAAAAATAATTATAAATTTTAATTATAAACTTTAAAAATTTTCCTAAATATCTCAATGCACAACATCAACATAAAATTTTTCTGTATTATGTCGATAGTTATATAGGTATTTTAGTTGTGCTATGTGTTAGTATTATGTAGGTCTGTATAGTATTCAACATATATTGATTCACAATTTTTGTTAGTTTGGTTAAAATTGTAAAACATCAAAATAATATATAAGCTTGAATTAAGTGAATTAAATTTAGTAAGGTAAAATTGAAATTAAGTAAGGAAATATAGTTGATTTTTTTTTTTTTTTTACTGGAATAACATTTTCATAAACGATTTTGGTAATGGAAGTAGTTCTATTTCTTTAAATCCTTTTTTGAAAAGAAATCAATTTTTTTGAAAATAATAAATAAGGGAAATTGTCCCTTGTATTCCATTTTTTTTATTTATTTATTTTTCTTCTTATATATACATAATTGCTAAACTAAATTGGCAATTTAATGTTGATATTATATATAATAAATAAGTGCATTACTTTTAATGATTATGTTCAATTGATGATTCTTGATGATATAAAAAGTTATATAAAAAATCTTTTAATTGCTTTGGAACAAATACATTCCCATGTTATTGTATATAATAAATAAGTGCATTGCTTTTAGGATTATGTTCGATTGATGATTCTTGATGATATAAAAAGTTATATGAAAAATCTTTTAATTGCTTTGGAACAAATACATTCCCATGGAATTATTCACCGAGACATCAAACCAAATAATTTTTTGTACAATCAATCTCAACAGAGGTAAAATTATTTTTTTCCATCTTGTTACTGACCATAATAACAGTTTTAATTAGTATCTGTTTTATATGTTAAATTATTATTCTAATTATTTTGAATTATTCTAATTTTGATTATATTGCCTTTTCATTTAAGGATGGCTAATACACTGGTGTTCAAAATTAAGAGAATTTGCATATTTTGTTGAATTTTCTTAAAACAACTAAGTAAAAAGTAAAACTATTGCTTCAAAACAAAATCTTGTCTGTCAAATTCATGAGCATATGTTTGTGGGGGCAAAGCTACTTGAGGAATATACTTTATAAACTAGCATAGTAAAATCTGTATTTCGTTCCCTCATACATCCTGCTGAATTTCTTGGTATTTTTTTGCAGTAATCTTAACAGATTCTTTTGATTTTATTTCAAACACTAAAACTGAGTAATCAACATTTAAGTGATAGATTGAGGTGGCAAATTGTGGGGAGACTTGAAGCAAGCTAGTCTTATACAGATTTGTTAAGAATTCGATTTAACGCCTAGAGTCTTGTCCAATTTATGGAATCGATCTCAGTAATTCAGATCTGTCGAGATGAGGCCTTGCCTAGGTCGGCTAAGAACCAGAACAGCCAATGAAGATCAGTATTTGTCGATTATTGCAAGGCGTAACAGATATGCTTCAGTATTAGAATTTTTATATCAAAATTTAGCAAAATTGTTTTTGGTTTCTTTCTTTTTATTTCTACTAGCCATAAAAATATATTAAACATGCAGAAATTGCCTAATTGAAAGCAAGTACTTAATTTGCTATTTTATGTATGATTATTTGTTAATTTAGTCTTAATTTTTTTTCTTTTAATTAGTTAGTAAGTTTATTTATCTTTTAATAGAAGAAAGTTTCTTTAAAAATGATTGTCTTGGCTGTTTAAGAAAAGAACAGAGGCTATACAAGCATTAAAATATTCCATCAGCCAGCTATTTTTTTTCTCTCCCAAAATGAATATTTGGTTTCAATAGCCTGACAAAATATAATCTGATTATATTATATTTTGTTTTACTGCAATTATCTGATTAAGGATAATTGCAATTGAAAAGCTTTTGTAAATAGTATGTAGCAAGAGATTTCTATATTATAAAAAAGAAAATAAAAATTTCTTATCATAATTACAGAGCTTTGAAGTAGTTACCTATCTACCATTGCTGAATTTTTATTTTTAATAGACCATCTAATCAAGGTACATACTGTTTAAGCNCTTTCAACAGTTTTTGCTTAAGAATTATTTTCGAAGTTTTATTGCTTTCAAAATCTAAGTTCTAATTTTTATTTACTAAATTGATATTTGAGGTAACCTCTCAATTTTTTCCAAAGGTCTAAACCAAAGATAAAATACCTAATTTTACATATTTAGTGAACCATTTATTTTGTTGAAATCTACCCCTCCTGGGGGGCAGTTTTCAACGGGTGGTGGGGCACATTTCAACAATTGAAGAGAACATAATAAGATCATGCATTTTGGAAAATTAACTTTATTCATAAAATAATAATAATGAATGAACATATTGGATTGATTTAGGTTTTTTCTACATTATTTTGTCTTTAATAAAATCAAAGTTTACGGAGAATGTCATGAAAAGTACAGCTCGAGCTGTTACGCAGCTTAAACTTGGTTGAGGCAGTTTCATTTTAATGTCATTTCTTTCCATACTACTAATATCCTCTTTTTCTGAAAAATAAAGCATTGATTATCATGATTCCTCGCTCTCCAGAAACTACCTGCCCACCAGACGAGCTCCTAGCTTGGCAGCAACATTTGGAGCTGGAACAACTGTTAAAACTCCAGTTTCATCCAAGTTATATTTTGATCCACTGTAAAATGACAAGAATTAAGAGCTCTCTCATAATTGTTGAAAAATTCCTGAACATTTTCTTTATTAAAAGCTATAGCTCTTGCAAAGCTGGTGTTTTCCAGTTTACTTAAAGTAAGCTGTGGGTGACGCTTCGTAAAACCTTTAACCTAGTCAAATCCAGACGTTTTATTTTTGTCCCAGCTACTTGGAATTTTGGAGTTCAAACACTTTGCGTTATCATAGGAAAGTTTTCTAACTTGTCTGTAAGTTAGACTATAATTGAGAACTGAACATGTAATTATGTATTCACAAAGCAGGGTTTTTTGCTGGACATCAAAAACTTGTTGGCTTAAGTATTTAGAACTGTAGCATTTTGTGTTATTTGTACATTGTTTGGTTTCACCAACCAAACAATTATTTGACTTTCTTTTTTTTAATTTATAAAATAAAGCTAAAAAGTCTATTCCAAATAAGTCTGCTGCTGCTTTTAAACATGCACCATTTCTGACAGCTTCCATTGCTTTTTCAATGTTTTCTTCACTAACTTCCGGCTTAGTGTGCTTTTTTTTTATATGTTCGCAACATTTTTATAAATTGTAAGAAGGTAAGGATTGAGAATTTTAATGTTACACCGTAAACTTTTCAATTTTCTTAAAATTAAATTCTTTTTATTCTAAATTAAATTTTCGTGAATATTTTTATAAAATTTTAAAATAATTATTTTATTGACACTTTTAATGAATTCTTTGTAAATAAATTCGATTTTCAACAACATAGCAACAAACTGAATCTTGGTTTTAAGCTTTTAAAAAAATTTCATATAATTGAAATTGAGCAAACCTGCTTCCTTGAACACATTCACATGTTTTTCAAAAAATTTAGAATAATGCCTTGCAGAAAAAGTTAAGTATTTTAAATGTAACAACCGTAATTAATGGGCTTTTTGCAGACTAATGACTTCTGCAAGATTACTTAACAAAAAAGTAATAAGCCTGTGGCACCTTTCAACACTGTTGAAATGTGCCCCTTAAGCTCTGTTGAAATCTGCCCCTGGTACAGACATTTTGGTTAAAGTATTATCAACCACTTTAGAAAAAGACTTTTTACTAATAAATAATACAGTTAGAAACTGAATTAAATAAACTAGCAGATGAATAAATATCACTTACCTTATTAAAAGATTACTAGTAGATAAACAGTTTTAAAATCAAAACTGCCTTTTTACTTTTGGAATGTTAAAACATGTTCCACAGAGTAACACAACAGTCGTAAAAAGAAAGTGCTTAAAACTAAATGTCAACAGTTATATATAGTTAAAGCTTATTGTCTGGCATATTGGTGAATCATTAAGCAATGTTAGAAGGCAGAAATTCTAGTTGTTGAAAGGTGCCCCATGTTGAAATGTACCCCCCTCTCCCCTACTGTTTAATCCTCTATTGATTAAGTGTAATTGTATGTCTTACCCCTCCTTTCTTAGTGGAAAAAGGAAATTTTTTAATTATTTCCCCTATTTCTAAACATGCAGTAGTAGTTGTTTAAAGTTCAAACTGTTAGAGCACTTTACCGTTGCCCAAAATATCATTACTTATCTTTAAAGTGTTTTAAAAGATATAAAATTTTGATTTGTTATTTTTATTGAATATGTTATTTGTAATTTTAAAAAAAATTGCTGCAATTAAATACGCATGAAAACTACATTAAAATTATATATATATATTAAGGGATGATTAGTTCCTCATCCAGTTATTTTTATTATTTTCGTTTTTAGCTACACTCTTGTTGATTTTGGGCTATCTCAAAAATGCAGTGAGCTACATGCTAGGTATTCCAATCGCCAGCCTTTGTCAGACTCCAGTGGTAGACTAAATAAAAATATTAAAAAGTTAGCTGAAGATTCAGAGAAGAAAGTAAATGAAACAGCTGCATCAGCGGGAACATCAAAACTTCAAACTATTATTAAAGTAATATTAATTTTTATATCTTGTCATATATGTATAAATATTTGTATACCTTCCAGAGTACAGTGACAATATATTCAAGTCCGATTAAATAGCCACAGTCATGATTGCTTTTCTGTGTATTTTCTTAGGTTTCATTCGTTATAGTAACTGTTATATCAATCAATGAAAACCTATAATTTTCTAGCTAATAGTTCGGCAGGAAAAAAAACGCACTTTTTTCCCCTTTGAGCCTAATATTTCTCATAACATTAATTTATATGCATGAATGTTACTGTATACTTTTCTTAGTATTTTTTTAATACTTTTCTTCTCAAGCATAATGATATGTGCTAAATTAATCCATTAGATTTCTGTGGGCAATATTCATAAATACATATATGTAAGTTTACGGCTTCCTGTTTCACCTTTCTTTTTTACAATTGCAGGAATTTATTTCCATGACAAAGAATAATATAAAAAAGGAATTTGATGTTGAACCTAAAGAGTTTTTTCCAAGACTAAAAATTATACAAGTGGATACTAGTAACATACTATTTATTTGTGGAGTAGCTTTTGAAGGTCTCGACAGTGGCGTAGCGAGGGGGGCATCATGCCCCGGGCGCTACTCACAAAGGGGCGCCAAATGGTCAGCAAAACAAAAAAAATTTTGGATAATTTTTTTTTTATTATAATTTATTTCTGCAAAATATATTTTAAATTTAGTGCCAGTGAAATATAATAAATGTTAATTCGTAAATAAAAAGGAACACTAATCAAACTGTAATAATATATTCATAATAGAAATGACACGTCTTTTCTAATGGCTGGCTGACTCGACCTGTGTCTGTCAGCTTTTCCTTATGGCATCTACGCTGTGTGGTTACATATATTATTTCCAAATATTTGCAGTTTATTTTTAATCTGAACTAAGAGNTTTTTAATTATTTCCCCTATTTCTAAACATGCAGTAGTAGTTGTTTAAAGTTCAAACTGTTAGAGCACTTTACCGTTGCCCAAAATATCATTACTTATCTTTAAAGTGTTTTAAAAGATATAAAATTTTGATTTGTTATTTTTATTGAATATGTTATTTGTAATTTTAAAAAAAATTGCTGCAATTAAATACGCATGAAAACTACATTAAAATTATATATATATATTAAGGGATGATTAGTTCCTCATCCAGTTATTTTTATTATTTTCGTTTTTAGCTACACTCTTGTTGATTTTGGGCTATCTCAAAAATGCAGTGAGCTACATGCTAGGTATTCCAATCGCCAGCCTTTGTCAGACTCCAGTGGTAGACTAAATAAAAATATTAAAAAGTTAGCTGAAGATTCAGAGAAGAAAGTAAATGAAACAGCTGCATCAGCTGGAACATCAAAACTTCAAACTATTATTAAAGTAATATTAATTTTTATATCTTGTCATATATGTATAATAATTTGTATTTCTTCCAGAGTACAGTGACAATATATTCAAGACCGATTAAATAGCCACAATCATATGATTGCTTTTCTGTGTATTTTCTTATGTTTCATTCATTATAGTAACTGTTATAGCAATAAAAGAAAGCCTGTAATTTTCTTGCCAATAGTTCGACAGGAAAAAAAAAACTCACTTCCCCCCTCCTTTAAGCCTAATATTGCTCATAATATTCATTTATATGCATTATTACTGTATACTTTTCTTAGTATTTTTTTTAATGCTTTTCTTTTTAAGCATAATAATCTGTGCCAAATTAATCCATTAGATTTTTGTGGGCAACATTCATAAATACATGTATGTGAGTTTATGGCTTCCTGTTTCCCCTTCCTTTTTTACAAATGCAGGAATTTATTTCCATGAAAAAGGAATAATATTAAAAAGGAATTTGATATTGAACCTAAAGAGCTTTTTCCAAGACCGAAAATTATACAAGTGGATACTAGTAGCATACTATTTATTAGTGGAGGAGCTTTTGAAAGTCTCGATAAGATCATTGAAGCGAGAAAAAGAGGGAATGTCAGTTGGCTTATACCTTGTTTTAGGAGAACAAGCTTGAACTAACATCTCACAATAGCATGAATTGAAAAACGATCTTTTGCAAAATTGTTCAATTATTTCTAATTGGTTTTTGCCAATACTGATAACCATAAGAATGTCAAGTCTCTAAACAGTAGAAAAATATTAGAACTTTGTTATTGGAAAATGATCAGTGAATTAAATTTTTTTTTTCTTCTCTCTCTGTGGTAATAATTTGTGAGAAAAATTCTTTTCACCACAATTATGTTCTAAGAAAAATATTTAATCTTGAAATTACTTTCTTTAATATATAAATGTATAATTACTTAAACTTCTTAATACTGTATTATTCTTTTTTATTTTACTTTTAATCTCAAATTAGCAAAAATAAAACTTTTTAAAAAAATCTTTAAAGATAAAATTATCTTTCCAATTCTTAGTTTTTTTTTTATAACGTTTTTTATTTCCTGATCTAAAAATATTGAAAATTATCTCCCTTTAGATGCTTAGTCATGTCTGAAAATTATTAAAAGGGGTGATGGTTTTTTATTTATTAATGAATTAGCTGCTCTAACATAACTACACAATATTTTACAAAGCAAATGTTCTAACATGCCTGTTTTATTTAAAATCCAGGAGCAAGCTAGGGGAGGATGGAGATCACAAAGTAAAGCAAAAGATACTGCTAAGCATGGAAAGGGTAAAACTAAAGAATGTAACTGTTTTAAGAGGCCAACTGTTTGCAAAATATGTCTTGGAAGGTAAATTTTGTTTAATTATAATTTTTGCATTGCGCTTTACCGATTATTTCAACTCAGTCTCTAAATTCCTAATTCAACTTTTTTAAAGGGATCAAGAAGAAGCTCCGAGGGGTGGTACTCCAGGTTTCAGAGCACCAGAAGTTCTACTGAAACATAGCCAACAAACAACAGGTAGTGTTTTTTGCAAACCTGATAAAGAAATCTTTTCTAATAAAAATCAGTAGTCATTAGATTATAAATAATATAGTAGTTATTAGATATAAAATGAAATAAAATAAATTAGCTTGTTACTTCGAAATTATTATTTTATTTAAAAATTTTGGAATCAATTAACAAAAATTTTTGGGTTTTGTTATCATGGAATTTTAAAAATAATAATTGGAATAACCTTTTATTCTACTCAAATTTTTAATTTCTTAAGTATAGTAAAAAATTAATAAGAAATTTTTGTAGTCAGATATCTATTTTTGAAAATATTTGCTATAATAAATAAATATATGTAACCTAAACTTCTTAACTTTGTGTTATACAATATACATTTGGAAAATTTTGCAGTGATTTAATTTTGTACATCTTAGATGATATACTTTTATTTTAATTCTCTTCATTTGTTATACAAATCCCAAAAATTCACTATTTTATGCAGTAGTTTGCATTAAATATTTATTTTACTTGCATCAAATATTTATTTTACTTGCATTAAATATTTATTTTACTTCATTAAATATTTATTTTACTTATTTTATTCTACATAATATCTACTTTACTATTTTTTTCCTACCATGTTACAGCTATGACAATAATTATAACCTACCATAAAAGTTTTTTTAAATATATATATTAAAAATATAATATATTAAATAATGTAGTATAATTCCAACTTTGCGTTTTTAATTTTATCTGATGCTTAGAACCGAATTGAATATTATCAGTGTTTTCAGTTTGTTTTTCACCTGTTATTAAGGTAAATATGGCTATTCTTATAATTCAATGTTTGTGGTTGGGCTTATATGATACACAATGAATTAAATCTAATTTCTTTAGGGGAACTGTATTGTTTCAATTATTTATTTTTCCTACATCAGTTACTTATATAATTTTCAAACCTGTCACTATTTTTTTTTCTATTTGAATTAATTGTTTTAAATTAATTATTAAAAACCCATAAACACTATAATTATTTTGTTTGAAAACTTCTAATGTAAATATTATAATCCTTTAAAATAATTGGAGTTTGATATTTTAATTGAAGCTTTTGCAAATAATAATTTGATATTACTTGAATTATAAATTTTCTTGACAAAAAATTGTTTGTGTGTAGCACTTATTTTATTTTTATTGAAAGTTATTTGTTAATGTTCGAATTGTTTACATTTTAGCTATTGATATGTGGTCTGCTGGTGTAATAATGCTATCCATTTTAAGTAAAAAGTATCCTTTTTTTCGAGCTGATGATGATCTTACAGCACTAGCTGAAATTACCTTTTTAGTTGGAACAAAAGAAATTAAAGAAGCTGCTGCTTCTATAGGTAATTAGTTTAACTCTGAAANTAATCTTGTATGTCTTTACAATTTAAAAACTCCTTGAAAAAGTTTTTTTGCAATAACGGACCCTATTTGCACAAATTCACAAAAGCGGGCCCTGGTTGAAAGAAAGTGACGTAACGTTTATTATATATTAACAAGTTACGAGTAATTTTTTCACAATTTTACAAAAACGGACCTTTCACAAAATGTCTGGACAGACCCCTGATGTATATATACCCTGCCACTTAAAGTAATCAGTCTTATCTTTTTTAAAACTACTGATTTTTTTTTAAATTAAAAAATTTTTTTTGGTTTTTGTTATCTTGGAATTTTAAAAAAAATAATTGAAATAAACTTTTCTTACTACTCAAATTTTTAATTTTTAAAATATAATCAAAAGTTAATAAGAAATTTTTATAGTCAGATGTCTATTTTTGAAAATACTTGCTATAATAAATAAATATATGTAACCTGAACTTCTTAACTTTGTGTTATACAATATACATTTGTAGCACATATTTTATTTTTATTGAAAGTAATTTGTTAATATTCGAATTATTTACATTTTAGCTATTGACATGTGGTCTGCTGGTGTAATAATGCTATCCATTTTAAGTAAAAAGTATCCTTTTTTTCGAGCTGATGATGATCTTACAGCACTAGCTGAAATTACCTTTTTAGTTGGAACAAAAGAAATAAAAGAAGCAGCTGCTTCTATAGGTAATTAGTTTGAAACTAAAAGTGTTTTTTTTCTCTTCATTTTATCTTGTAGTCTATGTGTTTTAAATTTTACTTTATTTTGAAGCAAACTTACGAATTTTACCAGCAGTTTTTTTCCTCAATATTAAAAGTGGTCGCAAAATATGTTATCATTTGTTTTAAGAGATGTATATAGAATCCGAAAGGCATTTTTTTTTTCTGTTTTTAATTGATGTCGCAATATTAAAAATGTTGGCCCACTTACCTAATTGTTACTTTACTGCCACTCTTAATTTAGCAGACAGTTTACAATTTAGATTGCCAGCTCTGTAGAATAATTTAAAAAATATATAAAAATACTCAAAACTGAGAAGTATTTTTTTTTTATTTATTTTTTATTTAAACTTTCAAAATACAAGGGAACTTTGTTATTGCAATAACTAATTTACTTAGTTTTTTAAAACGAAATATTCTAATTATTAACTATTTTTGTTAAGTTACAAAAGCATAGTTGTGTTAAAGTACATTAATTCTTCATCACTTAACAATCATGTTCTTTACTTCGTTTGTAGTTTAATTGTCCATTGCTTTTTACCACATTTTACCTAATTTGTTTTTGTATGTTAGTGAGGGAGCATAATTGAAATTTAATCTAATTCCAAACTAGCTAGAGAGCTCAAATTGAAACCAGAACTCTGTAGTGAGTGATAGTGCAAATTTCAATTGTTTTCTGACTGCAACAAACAGAATTCATGACCAATCAAAATTTTAACAATTTTCTGACATTAACAGATACAAAAGTAGAATGGAGAAAATATAATAAAAATAAAATAAAATGTTTCTTAAGAACCTTGTTTTTTAAATTGACTGAAAAATATGAATTTTATTTTGGTTACACAACCAAACAATATATTACTTTACTTTTGCGAAAACCTCACCTAAAATCTCCTTGCATTTTTCAAAATATTTGCCCCACGTTTATCATTAGTGGTCGAAAACTGAACCGTTTTCTCCTTTTTATCATGTTAGAATAAAAGTGATTTTTAAAAACTTGATTTTAATTTTATCCGATTACCTAAAAATTGAATATGATGTCTATTATTATTATATTGTAATTTGCATTATACCCCCGTTTTCATTTTGCTAATTATGGGTCCCACAGCTCATTAAAATTTTTATCCTATTTGCCTAAAAATTCAACAGAGTGTCTATTATTATTGTAGTTTACTTTGCACACATTATTTGGGAGTTATTTTCAACAAATCACTGAATTATTGAATGAAAAATACACTTGGAAATGCTTATCAATTAGTGAAAAACAATCATGATATAAAAAAACATCTATGTGTATTAGAAAGTATGTAAATATCATGCACTGTTAAATTTTGAAAGAAAAAATTAAATAGAAGTTTATGAAGTTATTGATTTACATTATTATAAGAAAATTAAAAATTTCAAAACCTCGTTCAATGTTAGGTTTATGATCTGATGCCAAGTGCAGTGGACTTAGAATGATTCCTTAAGTCTGAGATCATATTGTAATGAGAGGCAAATGCTGAGTTTGCACCTAGGTGCATGAAACCTTAGCTACACCTCTGTATATAGAGTGCTTTTGTAGAATATTTATTGCATAGAATTTGAAATTTTAGAAATATTTGTTTCAGTATTTGAGGTTCATTATCATTTAAATTTCGTGGAATAAATTTTACTTTATCTCTACATCTAATTTAAAATTTATAATTCCATGTCCCATGCTTATTTCTTTTTGGTTTGAATTTGTGGCTAGGAGAGTTCTTAACTACATTTTGTTCTTAATGATGCTTTTGATCTTGAAGAATTCAATAGACCAGTGGCGACACGGTGACATTGTCGCAGAACGTTGCCGAGTTCTTGCAGAAAGATCTGCAGTTCTTTTGTTACTTTAAATTAGTAATATTTAACTTCCGAAATGGATAGTTAAAAACACAAATTTAATTGCTGTATCATGTTATCCTGCAAGGATATTTAAAAATGTATATATTTCTGATTAAAATTTACATGGTATGTAAAGAAATACTTCAAATTACAATATTTAAAAATTTTTACTGCTATGAATGTATTTTTTATTGTTTAAAAATGTTTTTAAACTTCAGTTTGCTTTATTTGGTCATCAAAATTATTTTTTAAGTAAATGATTTAGTTTTCATGATTAAATTATTTAATAAATATTTTCTGTATTTTAAGTAGTTTGAATACTAGTAATTAAGTTATCAAATTGATGTTTAATATTTAAAAATTTCAGGTAAAATTTTGACTATGAACTTGCCAGAAACTACAGAGTCAATTTCGGATATTCGTAAACAATTGGGACCAGATCGCTACCTGCAGTCATTATGCTTTATGATTCAACGGGATCAACCTTGTTTTGTGCATACTCCAAAGCCTAATGAATCCATTACTGACTGTTTAATGTGTCATAACATTAGTAAAACAATCCCAGAAAGTGCTTATGATTTATTGGACAAATTACTTGATCCAAATCCGCATACCAGAATAACTGCTACTGAAGCACTTGATCACCCATTTCTAACAAGTAGTTAACCATAAAATGTTATGATAAATAATTAGTTGTATTTATGTATTTGTAGAAGCTACTTGTCAGACCTTATAACAGCAGTAGAATATTGTTTACTGCTGTTAATTCTTTTAAAGGCTCAAAAAATGTATTTCCAATTTCTGAATTAAATTTAAATATACTGGGTCTATTGCTGCAAAATATTGGTTAGCATGATGTTTTTTATAATGGGCTCTTTTCAGGCAAAAAAATTCTTTTTTCGTGTTTACATAAAGAGAATCATCTAACGTATGTTTATTAATGTCTTTAAATTATTTTTTGTTTAATTGATATTTGTTTGATTGAACTTAGTTACCAAAAATTAAAACAAATTATTTTTAAACTTTTTCCAAGCTATTATAATAGTTTTGAAACAGAAGAAAATTAATTAAATAATGCAAAAAATATTTCAAAATACTGTATAGATACGTCTTAGTTTCTTAATAGGTAGGAAAATTGTGTTTGTATAATTCTCTATAGGATGTAAGTAATATTTTTTTTTTAAATTTTTTGTCTGAAAAAGACTTAGCTATCCTAAACTGTAGCAATTTTTCTATTAACATCTTTAGAAAAAATAATCCATGTTTTTGTTTAATGGTTTTATTGGAGTACAGATTTTTTAATTCAAGTATTAAAAGAATTAAGAAATTTTATTAAAGGGTATCTTATTTCCAAATTCATGAAAATGTGATTTATATCTTTTTTATTGCGGAACTGAACAATATTTCCATACATGGTGAAAAAAGTTGTTCAGTTATTTGATTTTGGAACATAATGTGCTATCTTTTCATGGTATTTATTTTTATTTATATTAATTTTATAAGTCTTAATGTTTTTAATTCTTATAAATGCATTAGTATGAAACCTGTAAATTAAAATCCTTATAATTGTTTTTAGGAAAGTTTCTTTGTTTTGTAATTGTACCTGCTACAGAAATTGTTAAATTCCTTGCATATATGTTTTAATAATGTTTTGACAGTAATTGTTTATATTTTATAGTTTATTCTCAGGTAATATCTAGTTTTGTTTAATAACCACAACCGGGTAATCTGTTATTGTCTGTATTCTTTTAATTAAGTACAAATGTCTTTTAAAGTCAGAACTGTTCTATTTTGTGTGTTTTAAATGTAGTGTTCTTAATTAACTAGTTTGTTGTGAATTTTGACTAAAAGGCCACTTTGATTATGTAAAATAATTCATGTGATTAAAATAATAATAAATCAGTACAGTTGTTTCTGATTTATACAAAATAAATGGGTTCTAGTTTTAAATTGATTGATTGTTTTATATGATTTGAAAGCTTGTAATGCAAATACATGTTGACATGCGTACTCTAGTTCATGCTGTAATATTTACTGTAAGTAAAAATTGTATCACATGATTAAAAAATATGACTCTATTAACAAAAGTATTTACAAATAGTCGGTTTTTTATTGGCAGTAATTGTTTATATTGCAGCCAAAAAAGTGCCCTTTCGAAACTATTTAGAGCAGGGCTGATATGTTTGAAATTACTTGACATTTTAAGTTCTTTCACAGTATTTTAACAACTGATTAAATAAATATAATGTGACACTAAGACAACAAAAAAAAATTTTTTTTTAAATTTAAAGTCTTTTTTTTTGTGACTGATTTATTCTGGTACTTATTTATCTTTTAAAAAGAAAAGAATTGGACCTTGATAGGATTGTATAAGTTTGTTTTTCTATGTCTGAATTTTTTTTTTAGAAACATGACTTATGAGCAATTTTTATTTTTTTTATTTTTGAATTTAACCTTAATGTCCTGGCCTTTTTTGCAATAGTTTTTCTCACATAGATCAATATTTTTATATATTAACTTAATGAAACTTATTTGCTTTTTAGGAAAGTACCCACAGATAGAAATGCTGCTTTCTTTGTGTGGAACTTTCAATATAATAAACACAACAATTCCTCTTTTATTAATTTTTTTAAAATTTAAATGTATATTTTTTTTTTAAATTATAAAATTTTAATATTAAATGTTTTTAAGAAGTTAGTCAATATGCTCTACTTTACGTGTTTATGAAAGTTAACTGTACTATAATGAATCCAATATGAGATGTGTTTGGTATGTCTTTTTTTGTCCAAAAATAATTCAAAATAGTTATGATATTTTTTATTGAGTAAAAAAACAAATTCTAACTTTATAAGCTTTATAATTAAGTCTTGAAATGAAATTGTTTTTTCTTGTATTCTTTTGCATTCTATTAGAAGCATTATTTGTTTAACTTGTCTTATGCTGAGTGAGTGTTAATAAAAATGATCTACAAAACTGTATTTATTAGTTGGCTAAATCATATTAAATTGCTTATTTATGTATAATTTCTTTAAATGATCATTTTTAAAGACAAGATAAATGACTCATATTTTTTTTGCTTACGCAAATAATATAATCTCTAAAATTAAAAAATAATGATGTAAGAGTATATATTTAAAAACATATGGTAATTCACTTAAAGCAAAGCCAGCCTTCAGGTAAAGTTTATTTGAATCTTTGGACATTGGTAAAATATTCAGTACTTGTTAGGTGATAAAAGGACTCTAGTCAGCATCTTTTAAGTTTGAAAAGTTTGTCTTAAATTGTTGGATATAGAATGCAGTTGGAGACAAAATGTAAAATATACATTACTTGTGTGAGCTAAAAGCAATGGATAAATTTTAACTGTAGTAAAAATTTATAGACTATAGTCAGGCAGAAAATTTTCTTTGTATAACTTTTGTACTAGGGTATAAACCAGGTGCATTAGTTACTTTTCATTCGAAAGAGAGAATTGCATAAAAATTGACCCATCTCTTTATTTTTTAATTAATCTGTAGGTAAGTCTTATCGTAATTTTCTAAAGTTTTCATTTTAAAATACTATAGAATTCCAAAAAATAGAGCTCTCAAAAATCTGTACAAAATCTATTTTCCCTACCATAAATACCTACATTGTTATACCTGTACTTGTAATACCTGCATATTATCTTTAATTGTAAATTTTCTCTTCGTATTGAATATTCTGTTATTGGCACATTTCAAAGAATGTCAGTGTTATCATTTTTTTAAAATGTAGTTATACTTAATAATTTTACCCCACATCGAAGTGTTGTCTTCCAAATAACAATATTGTATAACAAATCCTGGCCTTATAATAAATGCTCATTTAAATAAATAAAATATAATATAAACTGTTTAAATGTATTTTACGTCTTCATCTTTCAGCTGTATTTCTGATTGACTTTTATCAAGACAATTTTTTAATTCTATATTTGTAAATTTCTCTGTACTCTAAATTTTAAAGATTGTACTTTTTTCAGCTTATGTTGTTTTTATTAAACTAAAATACATATCTGTACAATTTTTAGAGCTTTTTCCTCATGGCCTTTCATAATTTACTTTCTTTTTGAAATTAAAATGTTAGAATGTAAATATTTCAATTAAGATTACTGTGTGTAAATTTCTGAATGATTTGATCATTCTAAAACAAATTTTTATTATTCTAATTTTTATTGTAAAGTGAAAAGAAATTTATTGTTTCTGTAATTTATTTTTTATAAATTTGCATTATAATTTTGCTAGTTTATGTTTTATTTGCTTCTAATTTTTACCAGTATCAGCATTCTTGCATTATAATTTTGCTAGTACTTATGTTTTATTTACTTCTAATTTTTACCAGTTTCAGCATATCTTAATTTTTTTATCTAACACAAAAAGTTTATTTCTTTATGCCACAAATAAGTGCAATTTTTTTAATTTTAATATTTTCTAATTAAATTATTTTAAAGAACAGTCAGGTGATTAAAATATTTAGCTTGTTTGACCACTGTTCAGATCATTTGCTGTTTCTAAGTATTTGAGGAAAATTTTATTATTAAAGTAGATAATTTTTATTTTATTTTTAGATAATTTTAACCATTTTATTTGTGCAAATAAATTGATTTAAGAAAATTACAGAAGTTTTTGACAAAGTGGAAAGCCTCTAGTTCTTAGATGTATTGTGTGTATGTTACATATTATGAATATAAGGTATTTAGATTATGTGCATTTAAGTGGAATTTTTATGACATACATGTGTAATGACAGAGCTTCTCTTTGTAACTGTGTTACAGCGATTAGAGTTTTGTCCTATTGATATAAAAAAAAGTGCTCACATTTTCCAGTAACTGTTTATTTATTTTGATGTTTTGTAACAAGTATTGCTGGAATATTTTATTAAATATTTGCTAAATATGTTGCGTTGTTATTATTTATCTTGTAATATTTATTTCTCTATTCTATTTTTGCCAGAATTTTGAGATTACTCAAGCTTATAAAAAAAAAATTATTAGTTAAAGAGATTTAAAAAGCTATTCTGATTTATTCATGTAATAATTTGATTTACGCTTTCTTTTCAATTTAAAATAATCTTAAAAAAATTATAAAAGTCAAATATTCGTACTGTATTGTTTTCTGAAACTGTTCAATGCCTAATTAATTCACTGTCATTTTTTAAATATTAAAATTATCACGTATTCTTATCTAATATATTGAACTATACATTTATTATAAGTCAGAATTTCCAATACAAATAACATTTTAATGCAAAATTCTTAAAACTACTAATAATAAAACTTTATGGTATTAAAAATTTATAGGATTTTTTAAAAGTTAGGAAATTTGTAACTATCACCACCAAAAAAAGTAATCTAAAAACTATATTCATTTAGATTCGGATCGCAAAAAATTTAAATGAGCAATTCAAAATTTCCTTTTTTTATTTTTACGGAAAAAAAAAGTTTTTTATTATTATGTGCAGGTGCTGCCACGAACTGAAGGTTGTGCAGTAAATGTACCCTACTGGCCATGTACAATTGCTACGCCACGAACGTGAAATTTGTAGAATAGATAAAGCATGTTGGGGTATGCAAATGATTAGCTTCTCAGCTCATTCATGCAAAGCAGGCGACGGTTGCGACACCTACAATGTGTAAAAAAGAAGAGATTTTGCAGAAAGTTTCTCATACAGAAATTGAATTTGAGCGTTCTTGGGTGAAAAAGTTTTTGTTATGCCTCGTGTAGGAAGGAGAAATGCCTAACAGCANAAACAAATTTATCACCGACAGCACCACGGAAAAGACGAACATGAGGAAGTAGAACTTCATCAAAGTATCGTTGGCCCGTCATAGTCCCATTCGCAACCACATGTAGGCGCGTGCGGCCATTGATCATGATGCCAACCCACACCATGACACTGCATGTCGGATATCGGTCCCTTTCCTGAATATTTTCTGGACGATAACCAGTAGCACTCTCGCGCCAGATCAGTTGGCGTCTACAATCCGATGACAGACTGAACCTACTCTCATCTGAGAAGAGTACGCATGACCAGTCCTGTTCAGTCCAATTGTGATGCTCACGACACCATTACAAACGTGTAGTACGGTGCTGTCTGGTCAATGGGACGCACACAACAGGTCTGCGGGCGTATAGTCCTCCTCCCCTCAAACGTCTGGCAACAGTTTTTCGGGATATCTGCTTTCCTGTGGTAGCAAGAAACTGATTTGCCACCTGCTGAGCTGTGATGCGCCTGTTCCTTTTTACTGATAGGACGATGTATCTGTCTTCAGCAGGCGTCTTACTTCTAACACGACCTCCCCCATGCCGCTTGCTACACATTCCAGTAGTTTTAAAAGATTTCCACAGCCGTTAAACAACACCGTCAGCGATATCGAGCTCCCTGGCAACGTCTCTTATTTTTCGCCCTTCTTCGATCTTTCCAATAATTCGGCCACGCTTAAAATCATCAAAGTAATATCGGGAAGACATGCCGAAAATTTCAAGTTCGTCAACTAAATCTTTCCTGTAAAAATTTGACTTGAAACAACAACTCTCCACAACGCGTCAAAACCTTTAAAGCTCTTATCAGCGCTATCACGTGATGAACAAACGTGGAAAAAAAAATTTACATACGCATACCCCTTCTTACTATATCCCGCACTTATTCTAATTTTCCACATTTTGCTTCCCTTCATTTCGTGGTTGCTATGGATGATAGTGTTATCCGTCCTTAGCAATTGTCCAGCAGTGTATTTATTTCTCTATTCTACTTTTGCCAGAATTTTGAGATTACTCAAGCTTAAAAAAAAAAATTATTAGTTAAAGAGATTTAAAAAGCTATTGAATGATTCTGATTTATTCATGTAATAATTTGATTTACGCTTTCTTTTTAATTTAAAATAATCTTTAAAAAATTATAAAAGTCAAATATCCGTACTGTATTGTTTTCTGAAACTGTTCAATGCCTAATTAATTCACTGTCATTTTTTAAATAGTAAAATTATCAAGTATTCTTATCTAATATATTGAACTATACATTTATTATAAGTCAGAATTTCCAATACAAATAACATTTTAACTCCCATTAGTTCAAGATCCATTGTGTTCGGGAAAATATTGGTAAAAAATAAATACCATCCTGTTTGAAGTGATTTGTTGAGGTAATAGAAACTCAATATTTTTAACAATGAATTTTTTTATCACCTTTTAACAAATTACAATATTCTACATATTTCATGCATATAGAATTTAAAAAAAAAAAAATATATATATATACTGAACTTTCTCATATATGATGACAGTCATGCTTGGACATTTCACATGGAAAATTTTACAAAATCCTATGGAAAAACTAGTATCTACTCCCTTCCTAAGATGTGCACCTGCATGTGTTAAGACTGGGACATAAAAGGCTCTTTTGTACTGTTTACATTTAAAAGGTTTTTTTTTTTTTCAAATCTATATGGTGGGCACTCCAGATTCCTTAAATTATATTTTATAATTTATTTTTTTTATCATGAATCTTTCATAGGTTTGAATGTTCTTTTATTGACAAAATGATGGAAGGGCAAAATTCTTTTGTGGGTGATAGGAGGAGCAAAATTAACATTACTTTATGGCAATTTTTTTTTTTTTTTAATAAATGATGAGAACAGAGTTAAAATGTTAAACAAATTGAGAATGTATCACAAAGATCTTAAGACAACCGTTGATAATTGAAAAAAAAATTTGATTTGCTTTTTCTCTTTGTTGTATCAGCGTAAAACATATGTGATTTATGTAAAGAGCACATAATTATGTATTTGTAAAGTTTTTATAAAATTTAACTAGTGATTCTTATGAATTCATTTAATAATGTCTATACTTATTTCTAGTTATGTATTTAGTTAAAATAGTTTGAGTATCAGGCTTTTCGATTATGTTTTCTGAGCAGACCCGGACTCCTGGTGAACGATTTTCTCAGTCCTGTCCACTTTAACAAATTTATTTTTTCCTTGTTTAAGGCATTGGTGCAAAATTTTGTTCACTGAAAAGTGTCCCATTTATCTATATTTTTTAAAAATTATTCAATAAATGCAATATTAGGAGGCATTTTCACTGCAACTGATTTGCACATGCGTGAGCAGTCCATCTAACATTCAGACATTTGTATGCGCATGGGTAGGTAGTTAACGTTTTTGAATTATACTATATTAGGTTTTAGACCGGGGAGAGCTTAGGGTTTTAGCTGCAGTGGGTAAAACATCCAAGCATTTTATCATTTTGGTAAAAATCATGTTTTTTTCAGCAAAATATAGATTGCTTTTATAATTGTTTTCATGTTTAATGATTAAAAACTCTTGACAAAATGAATAAATAATAATTTATCAATAATAGTGCAAAATTCTTAAAACCACTAATAATACATCTTTATGGTATTAAAAATTTATAGGATTTTTTTAAAGCTTGGAAATTTGTAACTATCACCACCAAAAAAAGTAATCTAAAAACTACATTAATTTAGATTCGGATCGCAAAAAATTTAAATGAGCAATTCAAAATTTCCTTTTTTTATTTTTACGGAAAAAAAAGTTTTTTATTATTATGTGCAGGTGCTGCCACGAACTGAAGGTTGTGCATTAAATATACCCTACTGGCCATGTACAATTGCTACGCCACGAACGTGAAATTTGTAGAATAGATAAAGCATGTTGGGGTATGCAAATGATTAGCTTCTCAGCTCATTCATGCAAAGCAGGCGACGGTTGCGACACCTACAATGTGTAAAAAAGAAGAGATTTTGCAGAAAGTTTCTCATACAGAAATTGAATTTGAGCGTTCTTGGGTGAAAAAGTTTTTGTTATGCCTCGTGTAGGAAGGAGAAATGCCTAACAGCACGTATCCGAGTTTGATCGAGATCGAATTGTGGCCTACCGGGATTGCGGTTTATCATACCGAAGTATTGTAGCTTGCATTGGTCGAAATCCCATTCCCATGACATTTAGCAGAATATGGAATCGATGAGTCCATGGCGGTCACATGGAACGTCGGGCAGTATCTCAACGGCCTCCCATCACTAACAGCCGAAAAGACAGACACATATCCACATGGCCTTAAGGGATCGTACAGCTACGTCACAAACCCTGAGTCAACAAATGGGGGTCACTTGTAAGACAACAAGTGTCTGAACGAACAGTTCGACGACGTTTGCAGCAGCATGGACTATTAGCACGGCGATCATAGCTTTGGCTACCCTTGACGCTGCATCACAGGCAGAAGCGCCTCCATTGGTGTGATCAACGACGAACCTGGATACAGGAATGGCATGACGTCGTCTTTTCAAACGAATCCAGGTTCAGCATACAGATGGCCGCATCCGTGCTTGGCGACATTGTGGAGAACGTCCATTGGCAGCTTGCATTCGACATCGTCATACTGGCCCATCACCTGGAGTAATGGTATGGGGTGCTATTGGATACACGGCTCGATCACCTCCCATTCGTATTGCTGGCACTTTGAACAGCAGCCGTTACATTTCTGATGTGTTAGGGCCAGATGCTCTGACTTATCTTCGAGGCCTCCATAACGCTGCGTTTCAGCGGGGCTATACGCGACCGCATGTTGCCCGCACTGTCCTGACTTTCCTTGACACAGAACATGTTCGCCTGTTGCCCTGGCCATCACGTTCTCCTGATCTCTCACCAATTGAAAACGTTTGGTCAATGCTCGATGTTCAGGAGAATAACTGCTGTTATTGCTGCCAGGGGAGGCTGCTCTGGGTACTGATTCCTCCGAATCTATAGATCCAAATATCCTGAAAATTTAATCACTTGTTCTTCCAACTGTAATGGATGTGCCTAATAAATATCATTCTGTTNCTTCACTTCCTCTTACGGGTTCCTTATATCTATGAAACTCGTAATGTGTGTGCCCAATGAATATCATTCTGTTACTTGCATTCCTTCTTGGTGTAGTAATTTTAATGGCCAGCAGTGCATATTACTTCTAGATCTAGTGCCCTCAAATATCGTGCGCCCTCTCGTACTGCAGGGTTTGTTATTTACGCCGGCATTCAAGATGGCATTAAGACAATACCGGCATTCTACCTCTATTTTACTTTTAGTTCGGGGAGAAGGGGGGTTGTAGTAAATTCTCCTCCAAACTGCATCATATTACCCTAGACGCGTGAGGATGTTCCCTAATCATGTTTGAAATTTTAGAACTCTGAAGTGGCCGACGATACTACATTAGAGTGTATTCTGAACCATTAACTCATGATTGGGGAACGTTTAGTTACATCAGACATCCAGCTTTCATTAGCATGGGGGCAGTTACACTCGTCCAAACCATTCTCTTTGTCATGATTAGAGATTTTTCGCAGCGTTCTGTGAGGTAGGAAGGTACTTTATTTACGCCACACTAGAACTGCAAATGGGCTATTGGCGACAGTCTGAGAGATATCACTGATGATAGTCCGAAGACATTCCATGATAATTTTGATCTTATGCAGAAGGGGATTGCTCCTCTGCTTTGGTAGCCCAACAATCTATGTATGAAGTCGAGCACCAATACCGCACACCTTTGGTTTCTATGCACGCTGATCAGAGGGGTCACCCACCCATTTTCTGACAGCAGTGAGTGATGCTCGACTTCGGTGTTCTTCTGGGAACCATGTCCTTACTATCAGTACATTGCGGATCCAGCATTCCATAAGAATGGCCTCATTCAAAATTGCATACGCGAATTTCTTAAAAGCAGCGAGAACCATTCACTAATATTACGAATACAGCAAGAATAGCCTCTATATTTTATTTCCTTCGCACTATTGGCTGCTTCACATCGATAACGAAAGCTAGAATGTAGTAGCAAAGATTTATTTTACAAGTGAAAGTTGTACTTCAACTTTCATTGTTATTTTTAAAAGTTGATGATGGTGTTGTGTAGATTTTGAGAATTTTTATTTATGTATGAAAATAAATTTTAAAACACAGAACTTGTATCTATAATGCTAATTCATAATTAATTTTTACCATTTTATAAGCTGGTAAAATTTTTAAAGTTCTAATTAGATATGGCGAGACGGAATGTGTCTCAAAACAAAATTACTACTGGTTCTTTAGAAAAAATAGTTGGTGTAAATTCTGGGAAAAAAACTCCGTTATATGATTATGATGTAAGTATATAGGATAAATAATGAAGTAACGTAAACCATCTGCGGATTAATATTATGCTATGAAAAAAGGAAATTGCTTTGTGCTCTTGTTTGCTATGTCAACAATGCAAGCGAATATATTTTATTTTGTGCTAAAATTACTATGATAAAGTTTAAGTTTTGCTCAAACTAGGGAAATTTCACATTTGTCTTAAATATCTCAGTTAGATTTGGAAAGATTTTGTCTGAGTAGGGACAGATATAACTGCCAATTATAAGTACCATATGCAAACAATTTTTGTCGCAGTGGTAATGGAATTAACAGCGTTGCAAACTTTTTGGGAAAATTATCTGTATCTTCTTTAGCATTAATATATTGCTTTGTAATTTATTGAAAATGAGAGTATTTTCTTTTATCCAAATATACAGAATACATGGCATAGTTAAAATTTGTTGAGTTAATCTAGAAAGACTGAAAGATATTTTAAAAAATATGATGAGACACAATTAAATGTCAGCATATTACTGGAAACTATAAAGATTTTTAATCTATCACAAATTATTGGAAAGATTACTGTAGGGGTGCACAACCTTTTTGAGTGAAGTGCAAAGTATTTAGACAGACATGTTGACAGCAATTGTAGGCCGTCATTGTTATAAAAACATCATTGTTCTTGGCAATAAATTCTTCTAAAAAGTTAACTTTGTAATATATTTCAAAAAAATTAAATTCTTTAAATGTTTAAAATTAGAAACTGCAATATTGATTACTCAGAAAAAATCAGAACCAATTTCTTAGAAAAGAAAATTAGATAAATTGAAATAATTAAAAACTATGGGAAAATTCATACTTTTTTTATTATGTTACATAATACAAAAATCTATTTAAAAAGTTTGTCCATAGAATCAAATTTAAAAAAAAAAAGTTCTAGTTATTAAAATAAATGCAAGTTAAATACTTTGATTTAAAGAAAGTTTATAAGGAGCAAAATGATTAAAATTTAAACGGAAAATAAGATTCTACATTTAGTAGGTAATATATTTTAATTTAAATTTTTTTTTTTTTTTAAATTAATTGTAATAGGCAGGACCTAAGAGAGGGAAGAAAAGGAAAGAAAGAAAACTTTAATTTTGAAGGAACTGTTTTTCTTAATAATAAAGAACTAGTATTAAGATACCTATTTACAATTTTTTATGGCCAATACTTTTCGACATGGCACTTACTATTTACAATTAATACACATATATATTAACAATTAATTAAAACTTACATTACTTTACGAAACTTATCTTTATTATATTTTTTCAGAGTTAAAATTTATTGCCATACAAATCATTTCCCAGCATATAATCATAAATGATATAAAATGGTCTAAGAAGGTAGAAAATGGTTTAAAAAATTTCTTTATGGTTATCCTGCAATTTGCAAAATTTTTAAATATTGTGATAATTTTATCTTTTTGATCATGTGATACTTTTTTGCCCCATTAAATGAAAACCTAAAGATTTTGTTTTAAGACTGTTGTGTAATTTTGAACATGCCAAATTCATTCTGGAAAACAGTCTTTTGACAGAAGCTGTTGTTGTGGGTAGTATTAAACATAGGGAAAATAACTTAATCAGTTTTTGGAACCAGTCCCTGATGGTGTTCTTCCTTTCCTGATTTTTAAATTGCGTGAATACAAATAGTGATGTGTTATTTTTAAATTGCTTGAATACAAATTGCTATATGTGATTTTTAAACTGCGTTAATAAAAACGTAATGCATGGTTTTGAAATCGTGTGAATATGAATTGAGATGTATGTTTTTAAATTATGAAAAGAAAACTCACAATGTATGATTTTTAAAACTTGTGAATATTAATCACGCTGTGTGGTATTGAAATCTCGTGAAGATGAATTGTGATGGAGGATTTTTAAATCTCGTTAAAGTTAATATGAAATGCGCTGTGTAATTTTAATATCATGTAAATACGAATTACGATGTGTGACTTTTAAATTGCGAGAAGAATAAAAAATAATGATTCTTAAAATGCGTAAATATGAAGCGTGGTAAGTGACAACCAAAAATTAGGTTGGGTGTGTGTTGTTAAATTTGCATGTGTTCATGGGACTAACTAATATGCACGTGTTTTGAATTATTTTTTGCAAAAGAGATTGCGTTTAATATAAATTTCACACAGCTCGTTTTGTGTTAAAAAAATTTCTTGCACGTGTTTTGAATGTGTGTATGCACGTGTTTTGAATTATATTTTGCAAAAGAGATTGCGTTTAATATAAATTTCACACATATCGTTTTTTTTTTGTAAAAAAATTTTCTTCGGTAAAGGTGTTGATTTTGCTAAGATACGTAATTCCTTTTTAAGTTACAAAAATAATTTCAAACAGAATCGAATTTCACAAGTTGTAATATTGTGTTAAAATATCAGGATATTCAAAATCCCAACTAAAAATGCAGCAATAATGGGAAAGAAAAAAACACTTCCAAAAAAAATTATATTCATGTTAGAATCAGCACAAATAGAGCTCGTGAAAAGCAATTATTTTGATGCGCGATTCAAAATTTGTGTGCTGTCAAACTATAGTATTAAAAATATCAGATTTTTTTTAAAACACTGGGACGATCGTAGTAATGCCTATCAAAAAACTATCTAAATCCGTTTAGATTTCTGATGAAATTGGCGGAAATAAAGCGCGTCAAAAAGTGGTGTATTTAAATGGGGGTTTTAAAATTAAAATGTTGCAATAGAGTATAAAAAATATCGGGACTTTCTATATCCTGCAGAAATATGTAACAATAATTACTAAAATAACGATTGAAAAATAATTTAATTTGTGATTAAAATCGGCACAATTAAACCACGTCAAAAAATGGTTATTTAAATGATTGATTCTTTACTTGCGATTTGTAATAATATCATGCTAAAATATCGAAATTTAAAAATCCACAGCCAAATGGGTAGCAATAACTGCTGAAAAAACGATAAACAATCATTTAGATTTGCTAGGAGGTTTGCGTAAATAAAGCTTCTCATAACTTTATAATATCACAATTTCAGAAACTATGTGAAATTGGGTAGCAATAACCACCGAAAAGTCAATGGATTTATGATGAATTCGGGAGACAGAGCGTCAAAAGTGATAACTAAAATTCGAGATTTGCACGTCATAATAATGACGTATTAAAAATATTGGAATTTCCGAAACTGTGTAAATCTGTAGCCATCAAGAAAAAGTGATAAAAAAACTGAATTGATTGAAATTAGGTGGGTCAAAAACTAAAATGCGTAAATTTCAAATTTCCAAGTTTTTTATTTTTCAAAAAAAAAACTGGAATTATTTAGAAAATTTTTTGTTCAGATTGCTGCTGTGGGCCATACAACGAGGGTTGGCAAGCCGCAGGTTGTGCACCCCTAGTATACTGTGACATATTTTCGAAAGAGTAAAAAGACTTATGTGCTTTGTTATATCAGCTTGCATTTACAGATTTTTAAGATAGTGCTAATAAGCAAAACGTGTTGATATTTTACACCTGATTGAAAATTTTATTATGATAAAATGTTAAAGTCTGTTTTTACGATGCTAAAAGTTTATAAATAAATTTTAATCCTCTTTTGTAATTTAAATGACCTTTATTTTATAGATGATTGTTGAATTGTATGTTATGTTTTAGGTAATACTTGGACGTTCTAAAACTGCTTATATAAGTAGCCAAGACCCAAATGTGTCAAGAAACCACTGTTCTCTGAAATATACTCCAAATGGATGGTTAATAAAAGATTTAGGAGTAAGTGTTTTGTGTAATATTGTTTGTTTTGATTTAGTATTTTAATTCAGTCCCTAAAGATTAAAACTTTTTTCCCTTTCCTATTGCAGAGTGTCAACGGGACTTACATTGACAATGTTCGAATTCCTTCTAATGAACATGTTCCACTCACTTCTGGCTGTTCAATATATTTTGGACCAAAGGAAGATGCACCAGAAGGATATAAATTTGAAGGTGCCAAAGTAAGAAAAATTGCTAATTACCAGTTTGTCTCTTTGAAACTTTTGTTTTGAATTGAGACATTGTTTAACTGAAAACCACTATACAAGTTCAGTTTTTAATAAGATTTGTTTGTATCTATATAAAGATAGTAGAACACTCTTTTTGCTGGTAAAAATGTTGAAACAAAGTAATAGGTGCTAAGAAGCAAGTTTGAGGCTGATTTTTTTTTTTTTTTTGTATTATGTGCAATTATCACCAGATTGATACTCGTCATTGATATGAGGTAGATTTCTAATTTATTTTTAGACATTTTTGCATTCTTGTGCTGGAAACCAACTTTTCTTCATATTCAATGGAGACAATTTGTTGTGCAAGGAAATTTTTATCTGATTTTGTTCAATTATCAATATCATTATATTTCAGTTGTTAAACCAGATTTAATTTATATGTTTTTGTGTAAATGACCAGCTGCGTTTTGAGGATTTATTGCTCTATTTAGTTTACAGGTTTAGCTATTAATTGATTTAAATTTTTTTTTTTTTTTTTGAACTTGCTATGCAAGTTTAATTAATTGATTTCAGTTTCAATATGTGTTAAGGGTGTTTTGCAGGCTTTTAATAATTATGAGTTTTCTTTTTGGAAACTCAATTTGTTATTTAAAACATTTTATTGCTTTTCACGATCAGTGTATAATGTTTAAGCTGTTTTTTTCTTCTTCATATACCTTCATCAAATTGTAACTTTATTATTTCCATGAAAAATTAAAATGTTTCTAAATAAATAAACATAACTATAGTTTTAATATCTTTTTAACATTCAGATTTATTATGTACGAAAAATTAAGAAGAAACTAAAGAACAAATTTAAAAGAAAGATTTGTCCTTTATTATTCTATAAAATTCTGTATTATGAATCTGAGAGCAAATGTCTGCACTTAAAGTTATAAGATGTAATTTGCAAAAAGGTCATGCAAAATGGTATTGGTCAAATTGCAAAGTGGTAAGTTAATGAAAGCGGAAGTGCAGTGTGAAACTCTGAAGCTGTGAGCTTTTGTTGGAACACTAACTGTTTTTTTTCTCCTTCTATATAAAGTTTGTATTGAAGCAAGATATTTTTTGACACCTCTCTTATTTTAATTGTTTTAGGACTTAATTTTGATACTGTTAATTAAGCAGAATAATAATGTTTACATTCTCTTTATTTTACAGCTCTCAAATGGTGAAAATGAGCTGGGGAAAAGAGCTTCCCGTAAAAATTACTGTTCTCAGAAATCCTCTGACACTAAAGCTGTTAAAAGAAAAGCTTCTCCTACTGGCATGCCTCCCCAGAACAGCTCAGAAAAAAGGACTGTGATTGATGTGATTGGTGTTCCAGCTGTTGGAAACTCGAATCTCTTAGTAAAATCAAATAATCACAGCTGTGAAGAGGACGGTTATCACACTGATTCTTCTATATCAAGTTTAGACAGTTTAAAAACTAGAATACGTAAAGCCAATTCATCTCAAAAGAAGAAGGAAAAGCGAGCAAGATTCTGTCGGGAGGACAATTTAATTGGTCCATCCACTTCAACTGGTCTCTTTCGGCCAGTACCTGGTCTTGAAAGATTGCCTTTCCAAGTAAGGAATTTAATATTACTAGTACAGTAGACATTCTTTATAATACAAACCTTGAAATCTGGTACTAGCATTTTATTGAATTTTATGTTTTATAGATCAGTTCACTCATCTTTAAACTTACCTACTAAATATGGCAGTATTAGTGTGTAAAAGATCAATCTTAAAATGCTTTAAAATAATATTTGGTTACAAATAATTAAAAATATAAACTATGCATTTAAGTATTTAAAATTTACAGTAATTAATTCAATGAGAAAAAAAATTGCATTTGCAATTTTCTGCATCATTAGAATTAGTAACAAACAAATTAATCAATTTTGGTTTGTTTAGCTTTTGAAATTTAAACCTCTTAGCAAATTGTGTAATAAATTAATAGTTCTTAGTTATAGAAATTACTTAATTGCAAGTTTTATTGCTTTTAACTTCAAAACTAGTGTGGCTTTTGCAGAATTGCAGCTTATAGGGAATTGCAGTTTATGGAATTATGTTATATAGATGTTCTATTGTATAATAAATGCTTTTTGTTTGTCAGTAATGATTGTCAAACCTTATATTTTGAATGATTCTAAAACTAAATATTTTTTAATACGCTTTTTTCTTCTTCGAACTACTTTATGACAGGCCATTGAGAAATAATATTAAATAAATAATTTTAAGTACTAAACAAAATATGAAGTAAGCATGTAAATAATTAGAAATTGAAAGTGTAACTTGTATAGTTGTATCCTATTGAGAAAACATAAATATATGATAAAATTTTATGGAAGTATTGCAATCAAAATTAGTTTTATGTAATTTATTATGAATCTTTATCTGTCTGAAAATTATAAGTTTCTACACAAAGTTTGCAATAATTTTATAATTAGATCATTTGATAATTGTGCTTGAAGTTAAAATTTACAAATAGGTGTTGATCACAAAATTGCTACAGTATTGTTAATACATTTATTATACTTTATTAAATTATAAATTTCGAAATATATTATTATTTATATTTGTGATACCATTATAGGCATTACATATTTCCTGGGTTTTAAATTTTATAAATTTAATTTTTTTTAATCATTCTTAAAAATGTTATGATTAAATTAAATCAGTTATTTAATTTTTTTCTCATTTTATGAAGAGCGAATATAAATAGTACCTTTATTTATTTTTTTTAACAGTCAATGTAACAACTAACTCTTTATTCAATTGAGAAAAAAAAACTTATAGTATATAACTTATTGAGTATCATGCAAAATGAATATCAATTTTTAAACAAAATCTTATCTTCTCTAAGCTGCTTTATTCTTTTACGACAAAAATGTTTCTGTTACAGGGTTATATTAAATTCCCCTGTGGCAGAATTCTTTCTGGCTTTCTGCGGCAAATCTCCTGTACCCCTGGGGGTGCGCGTGCCACACTTTGGAAAACACTGCATTAGTCCAACCATTGGATGTTTTTAAAAAGGTTTTTAAAAAAGAAGAAAAGAAAAAAAATTGTCATTACATTTATGCTAAAAAATTTTTCCGCCTAAAATGTTGAACTCCTGAAGAGTATCTTTGAGAAAGACACCATTGTTAAGAACTTTAAAAGTAACTTGCTAAATAAAAGAATGTGTTGGATTTTTGCTCATTTTTTCAATCTAAAATAAAGACTTGATAATGGCCCACGATTGTTATGGCTTAACATTATTATGTATATTTTGAAACACAATACTTACTATATTTTATTTTGTATTCACATTTTGTATTCTTCATTTATATTGATCGATTCATATTTATTTTATATTTCTTTTCATTATTATTATTTCATTATAAATTTATCTATGATATTATAATATTTCTTTTATTTTATGATTATGACCTTCAATTTTTAAAACATTTTGATTTTTTTTCTTCTCTTCAACTGTTAAAGATTCGTCATTATTTTAAGTTATTCTGACCCTGTGTAAAGATAAATTTTGACTATTTTTGAAAGACCAATTCTAAAGACTTGTAATTCAGATCAGTGGGATTTGCTTCTGAGTGTAAGCCTGCAAGAAATAATTATTTTATGTGAGAGTTATATGTGAAAGTTATGTAGAGTTGAATGTATAGTTTTTAATTATCCATTAAGTAAGCTATTAAATGAAGATTAAAACATGTAGGACACAATATTAAAGAAAATGATATTTTAACTACTGAATCTAGTGAATTTCAGGCTTTTTAAATATTTTTGCTATGTAACTTTTTTTTGAATCTTTAACTCCATTTTTAATATAAGTGGAGTGATACCCCATGACAATTTAAAAAAAGAAAAAATGAATATGTTTTGCTATTTTAATAGAAGCAGTTCAATTACTTTTAATTTACATAATTTTTTTATCATCAGTGTTATCCTTTAATCAACTTCCATAAAATAAAAATACTTACTGCGAGCGACGAACAATTATAACTAACTCTTAAATATCCTAATTTGAATTAACTTTTGAAACTAGTTTCAACCCTTTTGTTACCATTTGTTTTGGCAAAATTTGTTTCAAAAGCACTAATTTTTTAAAAAATATTTTAATTTTTAAGAACTCTAAATTAACTATTGTAAATATCAGCATGCTTGAAAGTCAAATGCTATGACATAGCGGGAAAAGTGCGGCTGTGCAAAGCAAAAAAAAAAAAAATTCTCATATCAATCTCTGCAAGATTAAGATTGAGAATGTTTGACTATACGCCGAAGAGCCATTACATTTTGACCACCCTGCTAATAACATGTAGGACCACCTTTAGCCCTCAAAACTGTTAGCACCTGCCATGGCATTGATTCCACAAGGTGCTGATAGGTAGTCTGAGGTATCTGGTATCAAGCGCTCACCAACTGGTCCTGCAATTCCCTCACATTGTGAGGGGGTAGTGGGACAGCCGGAATTTGGTTATCCAAGTAGAACCACAAATGCTCTATTGGATTAAGGTCAGGTGAATTTGGGGGCCAAGACTTGACTTGAAAGTCACTGGAATGTTCCTCGACAATTCGACCCTTATGACATGGTGCATTATCCTGTTGGTAAACTCCATCCCCCGCAGGAAAAACTGTTGCCATGAATGGGTGAACCTGGTCTGTAACTATGTTCAAGTAGCTTACAGACGTCAGGGATTTTCCTATGAGGATTATGGGTCCTAATGTGCCCCATGAAAACATTGTTCCTGGGTGAGAAACTGTGAAAACCTAGGCGAGCCCATTGTTATAGATGGAGGGTGGTCATAATGTAATGGCTCTTCGGTGTATATATATTTTTTTAAATGAGTAATACTAAAAAATTTTCTTTGATGTTTACAAATATTGACTGTGGAACAAACTGGAAGATATTTGAGAATTTTGACTGTTTTTTGTTTATAATGAGAGATATTAAAAATATTTTCCCTGGTGGTGATAAATTTCCCCCGAACAGTGTTTGCACGTTCGTGTAATACAAATCTGCTTTTAATACAGAATTATTTTGCTCAGTAGCTCTTTCCCTTCATATTAATTATAATTTTAATAATAGAAAATTAGCAGTTACAAGGTGCTGGGTATGTATTCTACTTTGATTCCTATTGATACTGATGCATTATATTATTGGAGTCAATAAGTGTGGCTTATGCCAAAAATGTGTTTCTTCTTTGTGGTATAATTAATTTTTAATAAGCTTCAAATAAACATACTTTGATCACTCACTTTAGGAGAATTCTGACAGCGAAAATTCACAGAGCCTTTTGAATGATGATATTGCTGATTGGAATCCAGACAGTCAGACTTATAAGAATCAAGATTTGAAGAATGTTAGTCCTGTGAAGAAATTCTTGTGTTCCACTGATTTAAATTCAAGTAGTGTGGCTGTACATTCTAATCTTCTTAAAGTCTTACAAAAGAAAGTGAATGACTTGCAGAAGACTATCAAAACTTTAAATTTAAAATTTTCTGATACTATGAATGAAAATGCAAGACTAGTTGAAGTAAGTTATTATTAGTGTTTTTTGCTTGTTTGGTTTTTAATGTGTGTTATATTTATTGTTTATCAAATAATTTTTATAATATACTTTTTAAATATACTCATTTTTTTTTGAAAAATGTTTGCTGCTGGTGGTTTTGACATTTTCATTTTTAATGCTTCAAAATGTTCATACTTTTTTTAATGTAACTGTATTTAGAGCTATTTCTTCCCTTTCCAATCAAAAAGCAGTGGTATGAAGGGTCATTATTCTGGTATTCAATTCTTGATTGGTAAACGTTTTTTGTATTAAAAAATTAGAAGTCTTTTGTTGTTTGCTAGACCATTTGTAGGTGTAAAATGGAAGTGAGGTTTTATATACATGACCAGAATGGAATATTGAGTATTGTCCTGTAATAGAGTTTATGGCGTATTGATTAGGGGAATATCTTTAAGGAAAAAATTTTTTTCTGTTGATCTAACTAAAAAAAACTAAAACTAATGGCTTTTTATCCTTCTTTCTTATTTTTTTAAGTATTTCAAAAGTAAAAATCCTTAAAATCACTGGTTAAAAGAAAAAAAAGATAAATTAAAATTACAATTAAAGTAAAATTTTATTACTTTGTATTTTGCTAGTAAATAGTGTCAAAAATATTGTAATGCTAAAAATTGCTTATAAGTAAACTATAAATAAAGTAGATAAAATTTAATTTTTATGTGTTATCTAGGAATTGTTACTGTTATTTATACAGGTGCAATGAAAGTGTTTTTTTTAAAGAATATGCTGAGAGGCTTTTCTTCCTGCTCATAAAGCTGTAGTTACTTCATGTTCGTCATTGTTTTTTTTTTTTTGTCATTTTGCTTATAAAATATATAGTATTTATAATTTTATGTAATAACGCTTTGTTAATGTGCTATTCTTACCAAAATGAACGATTGCTTGGATTTGAAAAATTATTAAATATACTTGTAAAAAAAATAAAATAATAAACTTAGGAATACAGTTTGTGGGACTCAACGTAAAGAAATAAATGAGAAGTGATTTGATTTTGCTAGTTAATGATATAAAACAATGACCTGATATCATTATAGTTAGGTTTCATGGCAGTATGATGACATAGGGACAATTGTCACCAAATGTTCTATAAATGTCGCTAAAATGATATGCATGGGCAACAAAATTTTCGCCATGAACTTTGTTTGAAAATTGCAAAATAATAACGAAAAATAGTTACTTACTTTTTTTTTTGCATCAAAATCCATGCATTTGAAAAAAAATTTTGTACTAATTTTATTCTAAGCGTAGGTTAGGTTTCAGTTTTAAACTTTTTCAAATGAGTAATGGAAAGTGCCTGGTTCAAAAAATTTTCAGTGTTGAAATTTCAAATTTACTTGTTTTGCTACACTCTGCAGTCGTGTACTGATAGTGTAATTGTTCATCAATAAAACATAATTTTTTCCTCTTTTTGCAATCTTTTATTAAAAATTTTTAGTATAATATTTTGTTAATTTTTACTTTCTGTTTTCCTCATTTTTTTTATTTGGTCTCAGCATTTTAATCTATGTTGAATCTGTTTACTAATATTATGTAAACTTTCTTTGCACTTAATTTTAATAAATTCTAATCTTTAATCATTATGGGGTAATGATACTAATTAGTTTTAGAGTGTTATAGATAGTAATTAATTACTTTTGATGAGTACCTTAACATGAATTATACAATTGTGAAGTTTAATATTTTTTTCTTCTCAAGTTTGTCTACCATATTAATTTTTTGGACCAGTAAATGAATTTCCATTGTTAGTGTGAACCCTAATTATTACTGCAGTGATATCATTATTGAAATTTATCTCTTTAGTCTTTTATATTTTTAAAAATTTCAATAAAAATATTTAAGTGTGTTATAAACCTAGCAACAATCTCCCTCTCATTTTTTATATTTTATTTTAAATCATGACTGGCCCGTTTGGCATGGCATAGATCGGCCTGTATGGTATTTTTTACTTACTAGTTCATCAGTTGATATTTCTCAAATGAATATTCGTGCCAAGAATTTTTTTAAAATTCCATTGTACTTGTACATTTTTGTACACACTTTCTTAATTTCAAAGTCTTAAGGTTTGGTGTAAAGTTAAACACACAAAACAGCAGCAGCTTAAATTTTTTTTATACATTGAGCTTACTTTTACCTAACTTAAAATATTTTACAAGACTTCTTTCTATTCAACTATGTGTCATTATTATTAATAAACTAGTTAGAAATTAAGATTTATTCTTGTTATAAGTTCTAATATGGGATAATCTTAGAAATTAAGATTTATTCTTGTTATAAGTTCTAATATGGGATAATCTTACTTGATTTAAAACTTCATTTTCTTCAAAGATATGCAAATTGGAAATAACAATTGACATGATTCAAGCATTCAAAAACAGAAGACTAAATTCAAAATTTGCCGATTGTTATTTCCAAATTGTATATTTTTGAAGCGAATGAAGTAATATCTTATTGTTTCAGTTTTTTGGGAATATGTATTTAATGGAATGTTCTTGTTAAAGGTTTTGAAATCTAAAGAAGAAGCTGAAATAAATGTGAAGGAAGATTTCAAAAAACTCTTAGAAGATGAACTGATTTGTAATATTTGTACAGAGCTGTATATAAAAGTAATTGTTTAAGATTTTTTTTTTTTTAAAAAAAGAAAAGATTTTGTTTAAAAGATAAGTTTGAATATCAACAAAGTAACAGCACTTAGCAAAGTAATAAGTTAAATGAATGACGAAACCAAGTTGGAGAAATAGCATATTTAAATTTGATAAAAAATTATGTTTTCATAATTTGATTTTTTATCAGATAAGCATTCCAATTTGTCTGTAAAACATGTTATATTAGTCTATATTATGTTATATTAGTCTGTTTAAACATGTTTTTGTCATTTTTTGTTGTATCGATATCGATAAGAATACTAACTATTTTAGTTTTTAACATCTATGAATTTTAGCTCTAATTATAAAAATATTAATTAATTGAAAAGCACTTAAAAGCAATCTTATTTTTCCCTGTGGTGGTTTATGAATGATTTTTTATTTTTTAAGTATGAAGGTTGTATTATACGTTACGAAGAAATCTGAATGATGATGCTTGTAGTATTGAATGAGATTTTTTTTTTAAGACTCTTTTGTTTAATTTTTTTAAAATAAGTTTCTGCTTATCAAGTGGTTTCATAAAATAAGTCTCGTGTGGTTATTAACTACTTCTATTTTAAAGTTTAACTTCAAAAGAGATCAAAGTAGAGTTGTTTTAAGTTCATTGCACATCTGCTCTCACGTTTGCATGTGTTACTGTCCCGTGTTCTTTATTGTTATCATGCATTAATGTGTTAACTATTTTTTTATATTTTAGAACGGTGGTTTCAAAGTTTAGAACTTTTTTTTTCTGATATTGAGTATGAAACCTGAAATCAAATGTTAAAAAAAGAGCTTTTATAAAATTTTCGAAGGAATTTAATTTCTTTTTCTGATTTTGTTGATCCAATTACCTAAATTAATATATGAATTTAATGAAATAGGTTATGAAATTTAATTTTTTATTGTGACTTACCATATTTTTTGAATTGTTTTAGCCAATAACCTTGGGATGTTCTCACACATTTTGTCAACATTGTATTTTTGAGTGGAAGAAAAAGAAAAAGCAATGTCCTATGTGTCGAGAAAGAATTGAAACAGAAACTACTTGCCTGTTTTTGGACAACTTTATAAACAAAGCAGTAGAGAAATTGGATCCACCTAGTTTAGAGAAACGTCTGGAACTATTGAAAAAAAGAGAAGAATCACAAAGTAAATTTAAAATTATTTTAAAATTTAAAATGTATTGTTTTCATTCTTGATTTTTTTGTATTAATTATCTATATCTGTAATCACGAAGAAAAATAAAAGCTGACATAATTACTAATGCCTGTAACTTTAAGTTGATTTTCTTTTTAGCATTTCCATTGCCTTAAATTTCATTACCATAATTATGCTTTTCATGGAACCTAGGAGAAGAAATTTTAATAGTTCTTAAAAATGCCACGGCATAAAACAATTTACAATTGTTGTAAGTCTATTTTTACTAGCCATAATATCATGAGATATAATCTAATTCTTCATTTTTAATAAACTAAGTATCTTTGGCAGTCATCTGCTTGAAATTAAAAGTTATAAAGGTATTATTTACTTTTAAATATTTCTTTATCTTTTTTTATAGGAACTTACATTATTTATTAATTATCCTTTCTTAGCATTCTAATTAATTTTGAATTCTTAGCTCTGCTATTATTTTGATTATTATTCCAAACTAAAAGATCTGGCTCATAAAAATATTGCAAACCTTAAAAAATTCTTTAATTATTACTACATTCTTCTTATATTCTGTCTGGCATTTACTCATTTGGTTATTAATTCTCAGTTGCTTCTTCTATTTATTCATATATTTTTGCGGGTAAATAGTTGTAATGAGGATTATTGCTTTTGAAATACATCCAATAATGTAACAGCAACAAAAATTTATTTATTAATATTTAAAACAATAAACAAAACAATTATGAAAATATTAAGGGCCCTCAGCGGCCAAAATACAGAAATGTAAAAAGATACTCTAATAGAGGAAAGACCCAGGGCTAAAGAGAATAGAAGGGCTAGTTCACTCCTTTGAGGTAAAGCGCTTA